GGTTTCCGACCTCCTCTCTGTACGCCGTCTCGTCATCGTCTGTGATCTGGCCGATGACGGTCGTGTCGTCAGCAAACTTCACGATGATGTTGGAGCTGTGTGTGGCCACGCAGTCGTGTGTGAACAGGGAGTAGAGGAGAGGGCTGAGCACGCAGCCTTGAGGGGCACCGGTGTTGAGGATCAGGGTGGAGGATGTGATGTGTCCCACCCGCACTGCCTGGGGTCTGCCCGTCAGGAAGTTCAGGATCCAGTCACAGAGGGCGCTGTTGAGCCCGAGGTCTCTGAGCTTGGAGGGCACAATGGTATTGAATGCTGAACTGTAATCAATGAACAGCATTCTCACATATGTGTTCCTCTGGTCCAGGTGTGAGAGGGCAGTGTGGATGGTGAGGGCTATGGCGTCGTCTGTGGACCTGTTTGCTCTGTAGGCAAACTGCAGGGGGTCCAGAGAGTCAGGGAGGGAGGAGGTGATGAATGATTTGACTAACCGCTCAAAGCACTTCATAATGATGGAGGTGAGCGCTACTGGGCGGTAGTCGTTGGGGCAGGTGATTTATTGTTTTTTTGGGGACAGGAACGATGGTGGAGTGTTTGAAGCATGTGGGGACTACAGACTGCAGCAGGGACCTGTTGAAGATGTCTGTGAACACCTCTGCCAGCTGAACTGCACACACCCTGAGAACACGGCCAGGGATGCCATCAGGTCCAGGAGCCTTGTGTGGGTTAACTCTTTTAAAGGATTTGCACACATCTGCCCTGTTTAAAACAAAAGGGCAGGGCTCTGGCTCCTGGTCCTTCTGTGCTTCTACAGCCTGGCCGTTCTCAAAACGTGCAAAAAAGCCGTTCAGCTCATCTGGGAGAGATGCGCACGCAGACACTCCCGCAGCACCCCCCGCTGCTCCTTTGTAGTCTGTCATTGTTCTTAGTCCCGCCCACATGTTCCGGGTGTTACAGCCTTTGAAGTCAGACTCCACCTTCTCTTTGTACTGTCTCTTTGCATTGCTAATTGCTCTCCGGAGATCATATTTAGATTTCCTGTACTCCTCCGCAGGGATAGTGCGCGATAGTGCGCGCTTTCAGCTTGGTACGAACCTCGCCGTTTATCCAGGGCTTTTGATTTGGGAATGTTCGTACAGAAACCTTCGGTACCACGTCATCGATGCATTTCCCAATGTAGCAGATGACCGTGTCCGTGTGTGTGTTGATGAGTCTGACTCCTCACTCGTCACTCCATGGCTGTACAATCCTTGTTTCCGGTCTATGCCGGGTTTGAGTCCAGCATGAACTTTTTTGTTATTTTCATGTCGATGGACACTGAATATTATGTTTGAATAGAGGATTCCTAATATTGTTTGTTTGTATTGGTATGCTGGTCTATGCTGGTATGCTGGTCACCAGCATAGACCAGCATACCAGCATAGACCAGCATACCAGCATAGACCAGCATACCAGCATAGACCAGCATAGACCAGCATACCAGCATAGACCAGCATAGACCAGCATACCAGCATAGACCAGCATACCAGCATAGACCAGCATACAAGTGATCAAAACACAACATATGCTGGTTTTGCTGGTCAACTATGCTGGTCTATGCTGGTCAACACCATGCTGGTCTATGCTGGTTTTTTCAGCAGGGCAAGCAGCATTTTAAAGTCTAAATATTCCTGCACATGCAGCAATGACATTTCTGCTGCTATCTTTGCAAAACGAGTTAACACTCAGTCACATCTTATCTGGATGAGTGCTGCAGAATACCGTTTTTATAAGGGATACATCATACATGTGTGTGTAGTCTTTCATATTAAACATGATCGCTGGTAGATAGCCACAGAAGTCGTAACACAGTTTACCCTGTGCGGATCGCAGTTTACCCTGTGCGGATCGCAGTTTACCTCAGCGGATCACAGTTTACCCTGTGCGGATCGCAGTTTACCTGAGCGGATCACAGTTTACCCTGTGCGGATCGCAGTTTACCTGAGCGGATCACAGTTTACCCTGTGCGGATCGCAGTTTACCTGAGCGGATCACAGTTTACCCTGAGCGGATCACAGTTTACCCTGGGCGGATCGCAGTTTACCCTGGGCGGATCACAGTTTACCCTGGGCGGATCGCAGTTTACCTGAGCGGATCACAGTTTACCCTGGGCGGATCGCAGTTTACCTGAGCGGATCACAGTTTACCCTGAGCGGATCACAGTTTACCCTGGGCGGATCGCAGTTTACCTGAGCGGATCACAGTTTACCCTGGGCGGATCGCAGTTTACCTGAGCGGATCACAGTTTACCTGAGCGGATCGCAGTTTACCTGGGCGGATCGCAGTTTACCTGGGCGGATCACAGTTTACCTGAGCGGATCGCAGTTTACCTGGGCGGATCACAGTTTACCCTGGGCGGATCACAGTTTACCTGAGCGGATCGCAGTTTACCTGGGCGGATCACAGTTTACCTGAGCGGATCGCAGTTTACCCTGAGCGGATCGCAGTTTACCCTGGGCGGATCGCAGTTTACCTGAGCGGATCACAGTTTACCTGAGCGGATCACAGTTTACCCTGGGCGGATCGCAGTTTACCTGAGCGGATCACAGTTTACCCTGTGCGGATCGCAGTTTACCCTGGGCGGATCGCAGTTTACCTGAGCGGATCACAGTTTACCCTGGGCGGATCGCAGTTTACCTGAGCGGATCACAGTTTACCCTGGGCGGATCGCAGTTTACCTGAGCGGATCGCAGTTTACCCTGGGCGGATCGCAGTTTACCTGAGCGGATCACAGTTTACCTGAGCGGATCACAGTTTACCTGAGCGGATCACAGTTTACCCTGGGCGGATCACAGTTTACCCTGGGCGGATCGCAGTTTACCCTGGGCGGATCACAGTTTACCCTGAGCGGATCACAGTTTACCCTGGGCGGATCGCAGTTTACCTGAGCGGATCACAGTTTACCCTGGGCGGATCGCAGTTTACCCTGGGCGGATCACAGTTTACCCTGGGCGGATCGCAGTTTACCCTGGGCGGATCGCAGTTTACCCTGAGCGGATCACAGTTTACCCTGGGCGGATCGCAGTTTACCTGAGCGGATCACAGTTTACCCTGAGCGGATCACAGTTTACCCTGGGCGGATCGCAGGTTACCTGGGCGGATCGCAGTTTACCTGAGCGGATCGCAGTTTACCCTGAGCGGATCACAGTTTACCTGAGCGGATCGCAGTTTACCCTGGGCGGATCGCAGTTTACCTGAGCGGATCGCAGTTTACCCTGAGCGGATCGCAGTTTACCTGAGCGGATCACAGTTTACCCTGGGCGGATCGCAGTTTACCCTGAGCGGATCGCAGTTTACCTGAGCGGATCACAGTTTACCTGAGCGGATCACAGTTTACCCTGGGCGGATCACAGTTTACCCTGTGCGGATTGCAGTTTACCTGAGCGGATCACAGTTTACCTGAGCGGATCACAGTTTACCCTGTGCGGATCACAGTTTACCTGAGCGGATCACAGTTTACCCTGGGCGGATCGCAGTTTACCTGAGCGGATCACAGTTTACCCTGGGCGGATCGCAGTTTACCCTGGGCGGATCACAGTTTACCCTGGGCGGATCGCAGTTTACCTGAGCGGATCACAGTTTACCCTGGGCGGATCGCAGTTTACCCTGGGCGGATCGCAGTTTACCCTGAGCGGATCACAGTTTACCCTGGGCGGATCGCAGTTTACCTGAGCGGATCGCAGTTTACCCTGTGCGGATCACAGTTTACCCTGTGCGGATCGCAGTTTACCTGAGCGGATCGCAGTTTACCCTGGGCGGATCGCAGTTTACCCTGTGCGGATCGCAGTTTACCCTGGGCGGATCGCAGTTTACCCTGTGCGGATCGCAGTTTACCCTGAGCGGATCACAGTTTACCCTGAGCGGATCACAGTTTACCACAGCTGAAGACTTCTCCACGCTGCTTTCAAACTGTGAGTTAACAATGTAAGCTTCACTTGGAGGCTGTCTGAAGGTGTACACAGGTCTCAGATGGACTTGGTATCACATTAAGAACGATATTCAGTAATAAGTCTAGCAACAATAGCTGGTTTAAATGATTTATTTGAGCTCGCAATGTTTTGAACAGACATCCCCAGTCACCTCGTTTGTCTTTTTGTAGTCCTCGCTGTACGCGTCCGGATATCGCCATCGTAACCACAACCTCACACACTGGTACTGAATGTGCATCAAAGTGTTCCTATCCAGCCAAATATACCAAAAGATGAATGTAAACAACAGAAGAAGTGATCGAAATGTGTATTTCAGTCGAAGGCCATGCCCCCGACACATCTGCCTATAAACCAGTTGATTAAAAAAACAGTTAATCTCGAACACCGGCGCTACGAGGGGGCAAAAGGGGGCATTGCCCCTCAGTTGTATCACCCCTCACTTTGAGCATCATTCATCCATCAATAAGTACAATAAATGTCACAATTATTAAATAACTTTAAATAATTATTTCCCCCAATACACGTTACTATGTTTACATCAGATATGTGGGCAGGCAGTCAAGCAACGTGTAAAAAAGCCTCAACCCCAAGTGAGCTTGTAGTCTTAATTAATGTTAGCGTGTGTGCTTAGCTGTAAACACAGTTATTCGATCACTGGGCTGTAAGTCGACAATTTGTTTAGTTGAGGACAACCATAGTCTTTATATCCTAGATAATGATCAGCCTCAACTCTATGGGCCTGTCATAGACTAATATTGTTTTAAGTATGTGTGTGTATGAGCACTGCGTGGAGGGTTTTGGGAAGTCATCCACTGGATTTATAGTGTTAAATTCAACAGCGTGTCTATATATGGTTCAGCATGCAGCAGTGGGGGACTGTCTGTGAACATCATCCAGATCCAGTGCTCCTTGACAGTACATTGTATAGTATTAAAGCCTGAGTCTTAGACATCAGAAATCACCCTGTGTTGTTGCTTTTCGCTGCCCTGAAGCACCCCCTGATAGCCCTCCTTCCTTATCTCTCATTGCTGACAGTGCTGTGTTCAGAGAAGGAGTTCCATGATGCTGCACGGAGGAACGACACAGGGAAAATGCAGGAACTCATCAAGAAGGGCGTTAACGTCAAGGCCAAAAACAAAGTAAGTCTGCTGAAGGAAAGCACTTTATGTGGTTTCATGCCTTACTTATAAAATAACATTTTAATAAAATACTGTAGTTAGGCAAAAGTAATTTGAAGTTCTCATTCTGCACCTCCCACTTAAGAATAATATTTATTAGGCTATATTATTGGATTGTAATTATTGATAAATGAATATTATATATAGACTATATATACAAGAGCTGTAAAATAAATATGTATATCATTTTTATATCTGAGATGTAGTGTAGTAAAAGTATAAAGTAAAATGCAAATACTCGGGTGAATGACAAGTAGTGCAAAATGAAAGAGTAGTACTTTAAATGTAGTTAGTCAAAACCACTGCTTACTGGCTAAGGTGATAAGTAGAATTTCATTGCATTTTTTAACAGTATTTTAGTGTGTTTGTTGGATGCAGGAGTTCTCTGCCATGTTTCTCCATAGATATACTGTATATATATCTCTGTATTGACAGATTGACCGTAAGGCCCTGCACTGGGCAGCCGGAGCGGGGAGCGAACGGGCTCTGCGGATGCTTCTGGAACACGACACTGAAGTGAACGAGAGGGACTCGGTGTGTGAATACGGCTGTAATGACATCCTAATGACAATTTACACTGAATTCATTCATTCATTCCCTAGCATAAAAAATAACAATATATCCCCGAAGAATGATTGCCGTTTTAGTTTGTTAATAAAAGAAAAAGAAAAAAATTGAAAAAGATGTGTCTGTACAGAAATACAAAATGCCTTGTAATGCCTTTACTCCCTAGTCATTCTAACAGAACATTTTCAATGACAATAGTCCCAAAACTATATAAAACATGTATTGAAATGAATTGATTATTTGAGCTTATGAGGATACATGATTTGCCGCTTCTTTACCATTTTCACCCAAAAAAGTGTCTTATTATACACAAAGGAATTGAATAGATGGAAATAAGGAGTTATTTAGGAACAGCCACATCAATGCTGTAGCAAATGGGACAGTGTGACGCCAGTTGCTATGTTTTCTGAGTAGAACATCCCAAAAACACAGAGCAAACAACTACAAAACTAAATTATGTTCACACTTTATTTAAACTCACATACTTTTTCCACATAGTAAAGGGTTATGAGCATGTGCAAATGGATGCAAAATAAGAATGTGGGTACTCCACTTTTGACATGTTCAGGGCACTTACTCATTAATAAACCTTTCTAATATAAGGCAACAAATCCACCACACATTAGGACAGAGACAGACCATGACCAGAAGAGAGTATACTAGTTTCTACACCTGTACTATCAGAGCTCTGCTGACAGTTCTGAATGTTTTTCCACAGTTTGGCATGACCGCTCTGCTCCTGGCCTCCTGGTTTGGTCACCTTAAAGTCCTGCAGATCCTGGTGTCCTGTGGAGCAAAGCTCAACAGTGAGAACAAAGTGAGAGCTGCTTCATTTCATCACAACTCCACACCAGAACTATGAGATGTGATATCTGTGTGTGTGTGTGTGTGTGTGTGTGTGTGTGTGTGTGTGTGTGTGTGTGTGTGTGTGTGTGTGTGTGTGTGTGTGTGTGTGTGTGTGTGTGTGTGTGTGTGTGTGTGTGTGTGTGTGTGTGTGTGTGTGTGTGTGTGTGTGTGTGTGTGTGTGTGTGTGTGTGTGTGTGTGTGTGTGTGTGTGTGTGTGTGTGTGTGTGTGTGTGTGTGTGTGTGTGTGTTAGGATGGTCTCAGTATGCTGCACTGTGCTGCCCAGCGAGGCCACATCAAAGTATTGGAGTTCATCATGGAGGACCTGGAGGACATCCGGCTGGACCGAGTTGACAAGGTGACTCCTCCTAACCTGACACAATTTAAAGAGGCCCTATTCTGCTTTGGGCTGTTCCCTCTCCTGTAGTGTGTTCTATATGTTTTGGTGCATGTAAATGGTTTGTAAAGGTTAAATCCCTGTGCTCCATCACTATATAACACTTGCGCTTCTATAAGCTAGCGCTCCAACGCATTGCATGTGATACGCTAAGGACCGGGATGTCTCCAAGCGGTTGACCAATCACAACAGAACAAACCAGCTAACCAATCAGCAGACTAGGCTCTCTGATTTTCTGAAACAGGAAATATTAAATGTCTCCATCCCATCTTTCTTTCCATTTACTATGACTGATAGTTTGTTGTGAGAATATCAGCAATAAATGAAGGTGAGTGGAACATAACCCTTATGTTTAAACACTGTGTGTGTACACTATATGTGTTTATAATATCTGTCTCTCATCAGTCAGGGAAGACTGCGCTTCACCTGGCAGCTGAACATGGACAATTTGAGGTGGTGGAGTTTCTGATTGGAATGGGCTGCACACATGGTCTAAAGGACAAGGTATAGTAACACGCACACGCACACACACGCATCAAGTCAGTAATTATACCAAGCCTGTCACCATAACTACTTTTGTTTTACGATTTCATTGTCCCATAAGTAATTACGATAATATTATTATATATATTATTGTCATTTTTAAGCAAACAGGCTAACACTGTTCAATCGTTAAGAGATCCAATATTTATTTGTTGGGTTTCCAAAACCGCACCCCAGCTAATCTAAAGTAAGCTGGAGTGCATCCATCATTCATGATTTAAAGGCTTCTTTAAACAAACCGCATACAGCAGGATGTGTTCTGATGTCATATCCTGTGTATACTGCCAGCTTCATGATCCTGTTAGCTCCAGCAGCTTTAAGTATCCCAATGCCAGTCTTCACTGAGGAGCTGAGTGAGAGAAACGCCACGGTCACTAGTGACGTGTACTGTGTAGCACAGGGGTCACCAACCTTTTTTAGGATGAGAGCTACTTTCACAAAATAAAACAAGTCGGGGGCTACTTTTACTCCTCTTTTTTTTGTTTTTTGCAGTGTATATATTTAGCACATTTTAACATTATTATATGCTGACCTTTAACCTTTGTGTGCTGTTTGGGTCTGTGGGACCCGTTTGCAGTGTTTACTAAAAGAACATGTATTCAATTTAATTATTTTAACTGCTTTATTTGGGGGTGGACCTCACCTCCTCTAGGGGGGACCTCACCTCCTCTAGGGGGGTCCTCACCTCCTCTAGGGGGGTCCGGGGGCATGCAGCCCCGGGATCTGGTGCACTTTGAGCACAACATGAATTGATGGAAACAGCTCTCAACACTCAGATGAAAGGGAGCTGTATACTTTTCAATAATCCAAACATCTTTAGAATATGATCACAACCAATAACAAATAATTTATTCTTATCTTATGTTACCTAGTTAGCATTCTTTCTTTCTATTTATGCATATTTTATATATTATATATTTTACTAATGACTCCCCTTTTAAACTGTGTTTTTTACTGTCCTATAGTACACATTGGAATGATTTCTTACTTTATCTATATTAAATAGATAAAGGTATGCTCTCTCTCTCTAGCTCTCTCGCTCTCTCTCTCTCTCTCTCTCTCTCTCTCTCTCTCTCTCTCTCTCTCTCTCTCTCTCTCTCTGTCTCGCTCGCTCACAGAGGCTGTGTGCTCCTCCGTGGCGATGACGGCTTGCGTTAAAAAATAAAATAAACATATTTGTAAAGTGGGGGGACACAAACGGGATTTCAAAAAGTGGGGGGGACATGTCCCCCCTGTCCCCAGTGGAAATTACGCCATGCGTGTGTGTGCGTCAAGTGCAATAAATATGCAAGTTGCAACACACACAGAGTAAAACTCTGCCCCTCATGTGTTGTAAAGGCTGGCACGACTAGGCTGTTCAATGGGGCTGATGTGTTGTGTAGATTCTGCCAGAAGGAAAGGTTCAACTCCTTATGAAGCGGTGAGCTGCCGCTCCACATTGCTTTCACAACGCTGGACCCGCAAATCAAGCAAGAACGTGATTGGTCGATATTCATTGTGGGGTGGGGGGAGGAGGGGTGTTAGATAGATATAGAGTTGTAGTAAGTAGATAGAGTTCGCTATGATTGAGGTTTCGTTTATGCATAGGGTAGATTCTTTTAATTACATTTTCTTTTTTGTTTTGTGTATTTTATACATTTTGGATTTGCTTGGCGAGCTATTTTTAGAACATGCCCCGCGGGCGACTCACGTTGCCCCTGCGGGCGACTACGTGCCCGCGGGCACCGCGTTGGCTACCCCTGGTGTAGCACATACAAATGCCACCAGAGTTTATTTTTTTTATCTAATAATATTTAATTTATTTAGCCAATATTTATTAAAAAAGTAATGTTACTTTTTACTGTGATATCATGAAAAGTGTCTTTCAAAATAAAATGTGAATAAAATTCCTCTAGTGTGCTACGTTTTTTTCTGTGCATGTAAATAGTCTGCAAAGCCTAAAAGATCCCGGTGTTCCCTGCCTGAAACGCCTCCATAGGACTCCTTTGTTTACTTCAGGAACATAGTAACACTCGCCGTTCTAATTGCTACCACATGGTACGTGATAGGCTAAGGGGCGGGACATCTCTAAGCAGTTGACCAATCACAACAGAGACGGCCAGCTAACCAATCAGATCAGACTGGGCTCTGGTTTCAGACAGAGGGTGAAAAGAGGTGCTGCAGCTTTCTGTGAAAAAGAAAGTGTGTGTGTTGGACCGATACTCTGTACTGACAGATATTCTGACCTTTGCAAACATTGAGAACCTCTTGATTTAATCCTACCAGGTGTTAAAACTGTAAAAACTGTTCTAGCTCAGCAGAAGAAGAAAAAGATGATGATTTGGTAACATTTATGCTTAACTTATTGTTCAAAAAGCCAGCTTTTGCGGTAGTAGTATGACTGAAACTTAAAAGAAAAGAACAAACGGCTGAGTTGGTGTGTATAGAAACTGTTTACTTCACTTTTTTGGTTTCTACTATAAAGCAGTAATCAGCCCTCTGGATGTGTGATGGTGTTTACACTGTGTGTGAAGAGGAAGTGGAATGGCTCTCTGCTGTAATGTGTTATGTCTGGACTACAGGAAGAGAACACTGCCATGCACCTCGCAGCACGGAGCGGGCACACACACATCCTGCAGAAGATGGTGGAGATGGGGGTGGACGTGGACGAGAGGAACAAAGTGAGTGGAGCGGGCTGCAGACCTCAGACCAGGCCTCACTTGTGTGATTGGGTGATGTCTGATTTTTTTCAACCTTACTTTTTAATTTGACAGAGTTTGTAAAATATCTTCAGCTTGTGTTGTTGTTGTTAGTAAACAGCAGAGGTGGAAGAAGTACTCAGATATTTTACTTTTATACTTTACTTACAGTAACATGAAACACAATCAAAAGTCCACACAAACATCAGCGAAACAGGTTAACTGACATCTTCATACTGTCTAATTATTCTTTCTTGTTGGATTTCTTGCTCATCCTCTCCATTTAAAACGAATACTTTTTGTATATTTTCTGGTAAAAGTAGAAATACTACAGTATAAACAATACTCTGTTACAAGTAAAAGTCCTGCATACAAAATCTTACTTGAGTCAGTACAAAAGTATTGGCATCAAAAGTACTTATTGTGAGTAATAGCCCATATAATAATAATTGACTGAATAAACTGTCTTTTGATATACATATAGAAAACGTAAGAGCTGCAAAGGCTTTCACTTCATGAATCATGCAGGAATACTACACTGTGGTTTACCTCACAGCTGTTAGTACTCTGCTGATGATCTGTGGTCCAGGCACTACTGGGCACACAAAGGTTACTATAGTTTAGACTCTTTTAAACAACCTTTAAAAACATATAATATTGCAGCAATATATGGCAGTCCATACAGGAAGAGAAACACTTTGACACGCTCAAACAACCGCTTCACTCGTGCCGTTTAGTTTGAACGTTTATTGCAGGAAAAAACAAGCAAAAATACAATACATCCAAATACCAATAACCTTGAATATGATGACGAATGAAATTGATGGTTGAGGACTTTACAGTAGAAAATTGTTGTAAGATTGAGGTAGAAACTTGCAGTCAACAGAAAGTTTTCTTCCCGCCTACACTGAGCCGGTAAGCACTTACTCCGCCCAAACTCCAGTGCACGGCCACCACCAATACACCAAAAATAACACATTATAAATAAAAACACATACCGGTACATCTTAAATTTGGCTCCTACAGTACATACAGTATAACATTAATGAAATATTTCTCCAAATACCTCCTGGTCAGAGACTACTTGACTTTAGTAAAGAATTTCAACAAATTGGAGATAATTGACATCATTTGTGTCAATATCTTTACGGATTCATAGAAGATTAAGACAACAAACATCTGATATAAAGAATAAACTCCCAGCTGTACTCAATACAAAATGCTGTCTTTGGTAAACACACAGGAGGAGGATTGGTAGACTGTTTTGTTTAGAGGCTTCATGCTAAGTAAGAGAATTATATCAATTAGACTAAAACCTTATAGTGATCTGCTACAAAAATATTAAAATACATCAAAATGTGAATGGTACCTGTCAGACCTCTACTTAGGCTGATGCTGCTTTCACATGCTCCTTGGACAGTCCAATTCCCTGATTTTGAAAATCTTCTTCGGACTTTCTTGTGTTTGTGAGTCTTGTAATGTTGAGAGTTTTTTTTATCAATTTGCTCCGAACGTTATACAACACGTCGATTTCTGCTTTTCGAATTGTTGTTCCTTCCCAATGTGAATACTTCCAATCGGGGACATTTTTTCGAATTTATTCTAACACCACATGAATGCAACACAAATTCCCTATCTTACAATTTTGACAACATATTGACTCATAACATAATTACTGTGTCTGCCCCGTGTTTTGAAAAGGCTCCAAAATGTCATTACTCCATTTTCCTTTGCTACACCCTTTCACGTAGTTTCATGAAAATACTGCCTGTCGTTTTCCATTAACCTGCTGACAGTTTGCTTTCACTGAAAACACTGAAACATTGACTTTATTTAAAAGTATTATGTCAACGAATTTCACAAAACTATATTAGGTTAGTTAAAAGCAATACTATTAAGTTTAATCTTTTATTTAAACTTAATATTATTGCATTCACCTAACCTAATACATTTATGTGAAATCTGTTGACATAATACATTTAATAAAGGTCAACGTTTCAGTTTTTCCAGTGTTAGTCCACATTGTCAGCTGTGTTCTCACTTGATCCCGCTTCATGTTTTCTTTTTCTCTGATCATATCACTGGAATGGTAAACTGACCTTGTGTTCGGCTCACTGCTTGGACATAAAAGGCTCTTTCAAGTTGTCACTTATCTCTGGTAGCCATGATTTGTTGACATTCAATCAAATAATCAAACAATTGACTGACTTCACCTGCAGTCAGTGTGGAGCGCTGTGCACTGACACGCTCGCTCTCTGTTCCAGGAAGGCCTCACAGCGCTGCACCTGGCCTCTGACGGAGCTCACTGTGAGTGTGTCCGGCTGCTGCTGGAGGCCGGCTGCGAGGCCAACGCTCTGACTAATGTACGCTCTGTCCACTCAATGGCATATTTCATTTGCAATAAACACATCATATTGTGACTTTTTAAAATCTTTCCACAGTCTAAAACTATCTTCCTTTTCCTGCCTGCAGAAGAACATGACTGCCCTTCATTACGCGGCTCAGCACGGCTTTGACAGAGAAGCCAGTCTGCTGCTGGAGGCAGGGACCCACAGAGACGCTGTGGACAGTGTAAGGATGCAACACATTTATTAGATTGTATGATGGAGTAGATGTAGATTTTCTTTAAAGAGCATCGCCAAGCCCCCCCATACAGTATCTCTCAACAAAATGAATGATCCTACTCTGCTTTATCTGAGTTCTGTTCTTATAATTATATGTATTTTATGTCTCTTTTATTTTGCATTTATTTTATCTTTGTACATTTTTTTTTTTTATTGAATTATTTCGAAAATTCTTATTTTCTCTTTTGAATTGACTTTTTCTTATGTCATGAAATGAACCCTATGTATTTGATGTCATCATTTCTACAGGTTTATTGCCAAGTACGTTTACACGGTTTACACATGCAAACAATTTGCTCTGGTGTGTTTAGGACATATATTAAACACATGTTGTAACACAAATTGTAAGAAAAGGACCAAGGAATAGGACAACTAACAAATATTTAAAAAATATATTATAAATATAAATATTTACACATATTTTAAATAAACAAAAAAACATATCGTATAATGTGAAAGATCAAATAAAGTCCTTTATGTGCAGTATTGGGATGTAAAGTAGAGTGCTGTGCAGATTGTAAAAGAGGTAGCTGTGTTTACACATTTACAAGATTAGTTCATAGGATGTGTGCATTCATGTAATATGTGAATGTACAATAATATCATATACAAATTCTGTCATATAAATGGCAACGAGCATTGATATACAGAAGGTGAAGAGCCGAGGCGACCATGTTTCTGAGCCGTCAATAAATGTGACTAAATCACATTTTCTAACCTTTACGTACTTTGTAAAGCTTTACAAATGCTTGGATGAAAAGTAGTAGTGTCATATATTTTCTATATACATGTTAGAGTGATATTACATACACACAAGCACTATGTCTGTCTGTATGACTGTGCCATGTGACGTCCTTCTCTGTTCAGTGGGGGGGAGAACATGCAGCAACCACTAGTTAGCATCACCAGCAGGGTTATTACCCCCAGTGGCAGTATCACCATCACACTGTGGCAGAGAGCATTGCATTCTGCTACCCCCTCCCCTTTATATAAACATCCCTCCCCCTCAGATTCCACTGGGGGACACTAGATGGATGAACATAAAGCTACACATACAAACTGCACCACTTACCGTAAGATCGCCTCATTTGCTACAACAAAATCTAACCCTTTCATAAAAAAACGAGGCAATGCTTTATTCACAAGTGTACTCTTTTAGATATTTAAAATGATTAAATAAAACTTATTTGGCTAAAAGGATATTCCAGATATTCAAGGTATTCTTATTCTGTTCAGCCTGTGTATTGTTGACTTTAGAAACCCAAAACAGTTATCTAGAGTGAGATGGAGAATTTGAGTCGATAATATCAAAAGACAAAATATATTTTCTGCTTCTAAGATTCCCACATGTCTAAAGAATAATGACTAAATAGGGAAAAATGTATATTGGCAAGAGTACTTGACATAAAATCACCTATCCTGACACCAAAAACTTGGTTGCAGGCCATGGTGGGTCCTCTGTGTTGACATGTTTATTATCAGGATCAAACTGTGCATGCATATCCATTTAAAGGATCTTTCTTTGTGTTTGGAACAGCAACACAACACAGCTCTGCACCTCGCTGTGTTCCACCACCATGCAGAGGTTCTGCGGCTGCTCATAGGCGCTGACTGTGACCTGGACCTCGCTGACCGTGTGGGTACACACTGCTGACTCTGACCTGTGCATGTTAAAGGGAGGGTCTGGATATTATGAGGGGGGTTGTATGAAGTTAATAGATTTCATGGGAAGTGGAGCAGGATGAACCCAAACGCTGGAGACAGGAAGTTAAACAGAAAATACCCTAAAGTGTTGGGGATCCAGGCAGGTCAAGACGAACAGAACTTCCCATTACATGGCATACAAGGATCCGGACAAGACTCACAGAAAACCAGGATTTTAATAAAAGCTGAAACTAATGAGGGGATAAAGTGCAGGTTTACAGGAGGTCAGGTGATCGCAGGCCCAGGGCGGATGGGGAACAGGTGAAACGAATAGGTCCAGCACGGACAATCGAACAGGCGTTAAAACACAGGTGATAAAAACAGATATATTACACATAGAGAAAATGTCCAAATAAAACAGGCAACAGGTCAAATAAAATAAATAGGATCTTCACACTGATCCATAGTCAGTGTTTCAGCTACAGTAGATGGATATTGGCACGCCCTTGGTTTCGAGAAACACACAGGAGTTAGAGCATGGAAGCTAAGCTCTGTACTGCTGTACACGGGGGAGCAGCAACATGTATTTTAACACCTAATTAAAAATCAATATCATATAAGTGTACGCTTTATTTGCACTGCTTTACCCAGCTGTCAGGGTGTGCCAGCTATCATTCACTGTAGGCAATACACTGACTGTGGATAAGTACCTCAACAACCCCACTTTAAAACATCCATACTATCCCTTTAAACAATCAAAGCAGTTGGCTTTTCCGTATATGTGTGAGATCCATGAGTGCACACTCACAAAGACATGGAGCTAGTTCTCAGAGCGACATGGAGGCTACAGTGCATCACTCTCTGATATCTGTGGTGTGCTCCTCAGAGACAGCAGACTGCGCTGCACATCGCAGCAGAGCACGGCTGGCAGGACCTGGCTGAGATGATGCTCATCTCTGGAGTTGACCTCAATCTGACCGACAAGGTACCTCACAGCACAATACACCCCCCCCCCCCCCCGGGAGAGAATAACGGTTCCCATATGCCTTCTTTTCTTTGTTTTCCTTTATATAATAATTGATAAAAGAATGTTCTTGGTATTTTCGTTAAGTAGTATAGAGAGTTTCGTACTCAAGTAAAAGTAAGCGTCCTACGGACTTCCGGTCTGAGCGGAGCCATGTGAGGTCGCCAGAATCAGAATATTTATATTAGACAACTTCCCTCTACACTATATTCAAGTAACTTTAATCTAAGCTGTTCTTCTTTGCCTCCGCCCAACAGTTTCATTTGAAATATGTCGTCTTCCTCTCGCAAAAAGGCGTCTGCTGCGCCAGATCCGAAAGCTAATAGTGCTAGCCCGGCTAAAGGTGCTGAGGCAGGGCCCCTAGCCGCTAGCTCAGCACGAGTTGATGAGACCGCCATTCTACAGGCCATTCAATCTCTCGGGGAGGACCTGCTGAAGAAAATTGATGACAACGCCGAGATGCAGTCTAAAGAATTACGACGTGAAATAAGCCAACTGAGGGACGAGCTGAGATATATAAAAAAATTGCCGGCAAACTGGCGCCTGTGCTGCGCGAAGTATATACAGAGGCACTCCAGCAGGGTTCACTGCCCCACACATTAGCTCAGGCGGTGATAACAGTCGTCCTTAAAAAGGGCAAAGATCCAGCAAAATGCGACTCTTACAGACCAGTAAGTCTTCTGTTGTGATAACAAAATTCTCTCCAAAACTTTAGCTCTGCGCCTTGAGACTGTTCTGCATAGAATCATCCACCCGGACCAAACAGGGTTTGTAAAAGGCCGACAGTCTTTTGGGAATCTTCGGCGCCTATATAATATAATTTACTCAAATCCAGGACTCTCCAGAGGCTCTCATCTCTCTATAATGATAATAAATTATCATTACACCTGGGTAAAACAGAGTCCATTCTCTTCGGTTCGAAACATAATCTCAGCAAATCCGACGACTTCTCAGTTGCAGTGGGTGACATTATTGTCACAAGTAAGAAGGAAATTACATACCTAGGATCGATTCTTGAGGCAAACCTCTCCTGTGACAAAATGGCATCCAATGTAATAAAAAAAGTCAATCAAAGAACTAGATTCCTATACCGGATCTCCTCTCTGGTAAACAAAAACACCCTGAAAACTCTGGCAGGAGCACTCATTCAAGGGTACTATGACTATGCTTGCACGTCATGGTACCATAGCACCTCCAAGGCGCTAAAAATAAAACTTCAAACATCGCAAAATAAACTGGTCAGACTACTGCTTGACCTTTCATCTAGAACCCACCTCACCTCTGCCCACTTTGACAACCTAGGATGGCTTAGAGTAGACGACAGAGTACAGCTACTTGCAATGGGCCTGGTCTACAAGATCCACTACACCTCTATGGTACCCATGTACATGTCAAAATTCTTCCCAAAGGTCAAGGAATACCATGATCATAACACCAGAGGGAGCTCCACAAATCATGTAAAACCCAGATTTGGCACAAAAAAAGGGGAATACACGTTTCGCAATTATGCCACATCAAGGTGGAACGCTCTTCCCACAACTGTAAAGGAAAGTAAAACTATACTTACCTTCAAAACCTCTCTTAAAGAGCACCTTCGGGGAAAAGCATTGCAAAACTGGCCCCGGTAATGGTACAAATCTCAACCTGTCGTACAATGGACAGCTTCCCCCCCCCATCTATGTATATACTCGCATTTTAGACTCTGTTACTAACTGTATATCTGTAGACTTGGTATGTCTTAAATGTCCGGTTAGGATGTATTAGAACGAAATCTAAAATGAAAATTGTAAATAAGCCATCTGTATGTAAAAAACCACCTGTATGTAAATTGTAAATAAGCCATCTGTATGTCAAATATGTCTTATATGTCTTAAATGATATGATGAATTGGAAATGGGGGACCCTGATGTAAACAAGACGAAAGTCTTTCTCTGGTCTGCATCCCCTTAACAATTGTATGTTTTGAGCTGTACTGTACTGTACCCAATATACAAGCTGTTAATAAACTTTTCAATCAATCAATCAATCTCTAGACGCACACAAAGCCTTTGATCGCATTGAATTTGATACCTATTTGCAACTCTTGCTAAATTTGGCTTCGGCCCATGCTTTACAGTATCTCCTGGATAAAGGTCCTCTACTCTGCACCTCAGGCAGCAGTTCGCACTAATAATATCATTTCAAAATACTTCCGGCTTCAACGGGGCACAAGGCAGGGATGCCCCCTGTCCCCCCTCTTGTTTGATATAGCCATAGAACCGTTAGCAGCTGCTCTCAGGAATCGGTCAAATGTTACAGTAATTGAGCGGGGAGGCTATACGCATAAGCTGTCTTTGTATGCGGACGATGTTTTACTGTACTGCTCCGACCCGCTTAGGTCCATTCCGGCTGCACTCGATGTAATCACCTCTTTCGGCAAGGCTTCTGGGTATAAGATCAACATGACCAAGAGTGTACTCTTCCCCATCAATGAGACTGCGGCCAAGCTTTCATTTAGCGAACTCCCCTTTAAAGTGGCCATTGACTCTTTCACCTACCTGGGAGTGTGTGTGACACAGGACTTTAAAACCCTGTTTAAAAAGAACCTGCAACCAGCTCTGGACAAGGTTAATGAGGACCTAAAGCGCTGGGCGTCGCTCCCTATTTCGTTGGCAGGCAGGGTGAACACCATTAAAATGGTTATTATGCCACGTATGCTGTATTATTTTCAGTCAATTTCTGTTTTTCTCCCTAAAAAGTGTTTTAAAGACCTGGACAAATATATTTCCCCGTCTGCGTAAGGCATTTCTTGAGAAGAGAAAGTCAGAGGGGGGTCTTGCAATACCACATTTCCGGGAAGGGGGCGGTCCTATTTGGTCTAGCATGGAACAACACTCGTGTGAACCACTGGCCCCTGCCTCCCTGATGTGTGCTCCTTTACCACTTAGTAGAAAATATCACTCGAACAACCCTGTGGTCAATAGCTCTCTTAGGATATGGTCACAGTTCAGGAGGCATTTTGGATATAGACAAACTATCTCCTTCATCCCCATAGTTCGCAATCCGGCTTTCAAACCAGCCCTGATAGACTCCGCTTTCCACCTGTGGTCCCGGAAGGAACTTAAGTGTGTTGCTGATCTGTTCTACGAAGGGGTATTCACATCCTTTGAACATTTAGTTAAAGAATATGACATCCCAAGGAATCATTATTTTAGATATTTACAAATTTGCGATTTTACAAGAAAACAATTTCCCTCCTTCCCGGCCGCCCCACCTGGTGGATGGATGGAAGACTGCCTGGGCCTTAAACCTTGTCAGGGAGGCTATATCTCAAAGCTATATAATATTATTCAAGAAATCTCTAGCCCTTCCCTTAACCACCTTAAGGGTGCCTGGGAAGAAGAAATGGGCATAGAACTAACCGATGAGACCTGGCGGTCTGCGACTGAGAACATACATAAATCCTCCGTCTGTGTGAGGCATGGAGTACTTCAATTTAAAGTGTTCCATCGATTACATCTGTGCAGGAGCAGGCTTGCCAGGCTGTACCCTGATGTTGATCTCACATGCCAGAGGTGTCATTGTGCCACGGCTACCCTATTGCACATGTTTTTCTCCTGTCAGTCCATTGCCCCATTTTGGTCTTCTATATTTGAAACTTTTTCATTGATGTATGGCCAGAACATTCAACCAAATCCCATAATAGCTGTGTTTGGAGTAGCCCCTGAGGGGGTCTCCCTCTCTAATTGCCAGTCACACTCACTTGCGTTTGCAACCCTTCTTGCTCGCCGTCTAATCCTCCTCAAATGGAAAGACCGGACTCCACCATCTCATGCCCACTGGGTGAGGGATGTGATGGCACATTTGCAGCTGGAGGAGCTGAGGTATCGTAGCCAGGGATGTGTTAACAAATACTACAAGATCTGGCAGCCTTTCCTTGACTGTTTTAACAAACTCCCCTGTGCCAATCTGACTGCATGAAGCCCTGACCTTCCCTTTTCATTTACTGTTTATTTTATTGGATTGTATTATTTATTTTGTTTATTTTATTATTTTATTTCTTTAAGTGCATCTGTGGGTGTGTATGAATATGTGTATGTGTATATATATATATATATATATATTATGTGTATGTGCTTGCACAGTATATGTACTGCAATTACATTTCTATTTGTGGTACAAATGTAATTCAATTCAATTGTATGATTACACATCTGCATTTTCATGTGCCCTGTTCTGTTTTGATATAAGTGAAAATCAATAAAGAAAGGTGAAATAAAAAGTAAGCGTCCTGCAATGGAAAAAATATACATTTTCCCTACTCCAGCAGAATTGCTGTCATAAAATCATAACTCTTTTTTTATATGAAAATAAGAATAGAACTGGTTAACCTTTGTTCTGTGGGTCATTTCTCTTTTGTATTATTACATTGACTTGTAGGTCATACTAACCTGTATACTGTATATATGTATAACTATAATGCTATCTATAATATTTCCAGCAGGGGAAGACCTGTCTGGAGGTGGCCGCCAGAGGAAACCACGTCATCCTGGTCGACATGATCATCAAAGCTGACCGCTTTTATAAATGGGAGAAGGTGAGTGTCCTCACACCATCTGGAATAACTTTATTAAATAACATGACGAAAAAACTAAAATCCAAATACTTTCTCTTCTAGAAACTGATATTGTTCGGTTTGTTAAATAATCTAACATGTGACACTGCTATAGGGCGTTGCTTTTGATGCATGATTGACAGGTCCTGCAAAAATGTTTTACAGGAGATACATTTGACTTTGTTATTTGTATTTTTCTCCAGAAAAAATACATGGAACTAAGTTAAAAAGTCACTAATGTGCAGAATGCTGAAGTACACATAGGAAACTGAGCTTCTCCACGAGACTCTCATTCAGTGGAGCTCAAAGCTCCAGTTCTTCTAAACTTTGTATGACTATTCATATTGGCAGTGTCAGGAGATTTGTTACCATTCAAGAAGCATCATCCGGTTCTGAAAAGTAAAGGCCCTTCTCACTTGATTTATTACCTTAGTAAAGATTGAATCATGTTTTTATTGTCTCAATCTGTAGTTTGAAGAATTCTTCCGTTTAGCTTGTTATAAAAAAGACAATAAAGCATCTATGTTGTGATCGACAGGTCTCTCCCACTGTGTTGTCTGCTTAGGATCATTATTTATACTTTTACCAGTGTTCTTTGGTTAATTTAAACATTTTGGTTGCATAAATATTTTGTATTTAGCGTTGTACAAAGCTCATGTAATGTCTGGTTCCAAAAAACCTGCTGTAGGATAACTCTGTAGGCTTCTCTGATGTGTATGAAGGTTCAGGCCCCACCAAAGCAACCACAAATGTTGATACTTTTTTCATAGCCTTCATTTTATTTGCATCTTATAGCAGTAATCCGGCCATCTTGAAAAGACAGAGTGAGCTTTGCTGTTTTTAATGGTACAGTAAACCACATCTGTACACTTTGTCTGAAATCCTCAGGATCAGATGGGCAGGGAGCTGGACTCCTGGGTGGGGCGGCCCCTGAGCTTTAAGCAGGACCACCAGCAGGAGACTCAGCACCTCCGCTCGGTCCTGTGGAGCCTGGCCACCAAGCACCTGTGCCGGGGGGAGTGGAAGATCCTGGCCCAGCACTGGGACTTCAGCGAGGCTCATATACGGGCTGTAGAACAACAGTGGACAGGTGGACTGCTGAAAGAGATTAAAACACACGTTAGATACAAGGAATACACAACTCTTTTTGGGCCAGTTTAGCCTTTATTAGAGAGATACATTTGAAGAGGACATAGAGGGTAGGAGAAGCGTACTCAAACTTGCATCTTGGGTTTAGTTTTCTTTTTTTAAATCTTGAAAATGTATTTGTAGTGGCAAAAATCATAAAGAAATAAAACATAAAAGTATAACTCAAAAATGAACTGCTAGGGCACCAGTAGGCAAATCTTACGCAGGGAAAATGAGAAGTCCAGGCAAGAGCATCCTTTTGTGCATTTATTTCTGATGATCCAATATCATACAGTACTCTACAGTTATAAATCTTGCCCAGTCTCTCCTCGTGGTTTCCCACCTCCACCTGTCTCCAATATATACATGTTACCAGGTGCCCAAAACCACCTTCAAAATAAAAGCATAGAGAATTACTTTAATTAACTCAATTAAAGGTGGGGTAGGTAAGTTTGAGAAACCGGCTCGAGATACACTTTTTGTTATATTCCATGGAATGCTCTTAACATCCCGATAGCAATGAATATCTTCAGTGCTTTGACAAAAAATCCATAAAAAGATGTCATCTGTGGAAGCTGTAGTACTGTAAAAAGTACGACCAATCATTTTAGCCGGCCCGGCTAAAGTAACTGGATGGCCTACCTGCCTGTCAGCCTTCCATCTGTGCACAAACTTATCTCGTGCCCTCATTGGTCATGTGCGCGTTCATGTGTGTTGGAGGAGGGGCTCTGTAAGGAAGTGGCAGATTTTTTCCGGCTGTGTATTTTCAAATTCTAGCGCACTCGAGCTGGTTTCTCAAACTTACCTACCCTACCTTTAATTTCATTGAATAATAATACATTCACTGTAAACCAAAAAAGCGAAAAAATAAATGTTTAACTATTAAATAATATAAATTAAAATATTGCTCAGACAGTATTGATATGTGTTCTGATTCTGTATCGAACTTGTAGGTATGAAAAGCTTCAAAGAGCACGGCCACAGGATGCTGTTAGTCTGGCTCCACGGCGTGGTGATGGCGGGGGAGAACCCGGTCAAAGGTCTCTACGAGGGGCTGGTGGAGATCTCACGGACAGACCTCGCAGGTGAGATCCTCAAAATGTACTGTGGCTTCTATTATTGTGAAACTGCCGCTGCTTTACAGAGCTCTGCATCTCTCATCTCATCTTCTACCGCTTATTCGAGTGGTATAACTTCCCTTTGCCTGGCCCCATCAATCAGCTCTGACGGGGGGTTCCAAGGGGGGGATTCTTGTATCCGCAATTTTTTTCTTTCGGTCATGAAAAGAGCCCTGCATGTTTTTCTATATGCTGCTTAGTCTGTGAGATGTGTGATGTGAGGTGTAGTCCATGCTGTCTCTCTAAAGTGAACCATCCAGTAAGCCAAAGATGACTCTACAACACACTTTTAAATGACAGAACCCTCATTTGCATAATGCAGTGGAGATATGTAAAATAATGTATTTATCAAAGAAAACTGAAACAAATATATTTGTATTAAAATACATTAAGTAATGATCACATACATTTTATAACACATTGAACGTTATGAAAAGTAAAATAATAAAGTTTAATAAGCCAACTAAAAAACGATTTCAAATGATATCACAGTTTACCAATCCATTTTTGCTTAAATGTATTACTAATATATATTTGTATTTATTTAAGTGCATTTAATGACAGATGTATATATTAATCAAGTCGTTTATATATTTGTATTTACTTAGCAGGTTCCGTCCTCCATACACATGTTCCAAAATGCTAATACTATTTCAGATTTTTTTTTATTTGTTCAATTGACTGTATGATATAAAGACTAAAGATTCTTAGTAAAAAATAAGTAAAGTTGTTTTAACTTGTCCAATTCCTTGCAGGGGTGTGAAGGTGTATCATTTCTTATTGTTTTTCTAATATCCAGAGTCCATCCGGCAGAAGGCGAACGCAGAGAGCTGCTCCCCCAAACTGTGCTCTGCTATGTGATCCACGCTGAGGGGCCGTCAATGCCCCAACTGAGCCCATGAGTAGGTTTGTATTATCCATGACCTGTTTACATTATTCACATACTCAATATACTGTGATTGTTCAGAATTTTATAAAAAGATGGTTTGAAACCTGTGAAATATCTGTTTATAATGTAAAATAAAAATGTTCAAGGGCTTGAACGGTTACAACATTTCCTGTGAGCTGGAACGAGTTGAAATATGTTCACCCAATAATTGGAAATTACAAGAAAATGCTTATAAAAAAACATGACTCCAATCAACCACATCATGTAATCATTGCGATCTTGGAGGGCCCACGCCCCCCCACACCATTAGCCTGATTAACTTGACATTTGACACACATATCCAGCTCAATTTGCTCTACAAAGAAGCCTAAAGAATCACTCAAGTCAGCTTGACTACATTTCCCACCAGAACATTTTTGACGAAAAGTGTTTACATTTTATAGGCATGCAAGAAAGAGGCGTGGCACAACATGAATCCAACTATAATTCACAAATGTATTTGTCCAATTAAGCTGTTGAAAAATGTCCCCAAGTGCTTCCCAAAAATTAGAGGCCACTTGACTTCGAGTATGCAAATATGTAAAGGTTGTTTGCACACTCACAAAAAAACTGAATTTGCATGCAGTAAACGCTGTATCTGTATCTGTACACTAAGGGCTGTGACGTCTAAAAGCAGCTGAAGACTCACCCATGTAGACTTAACTGTGTTTAATTGCTCCGCGGTTACTATGGCATCTCTGTCTGTTTTATTAAGATTTTATTCTTACAAACTTTATAATGTTTGCTCTCGGGCGGTGCTATAAAAATTAATGAAATGACACCAGCCACACACTGCGGCAGCTCCCACAGACAGTAACCAGTCTGCAGACAGCGTGATACACAGCAGCTTTATTATGGTTCTTGTTGGTGACAGGTTTCACTGCTGTGGTTCCACAGTCTGTCTGAGTGTGAGCCACGGCTTCAGGCTCTGCACTCTCTGTCTTTGTGGCCTTAAAGAAAAAACGTTAGGTTCAGTTCTGAAAGGACTGCTTTGTCAGAACTAGCAACATGAGCAGTCCACCTCAGTTTAATCCTCAGTTCTACCCAGTTGTCCAAAGCACAATGTCCATCTCCACCTGAAGCCCTGCTTTAGGGGTCACAAGATGAACTTCAGGTTTTCAAAAGATGTTTTACTGGACAGTAAAGCAGAAAACTACTTGTATACCACTCAGAATGATATAGTTATTTTATTTTATTTCTTTTTTCTCTTGAATAACTGGATTATTTTACTCCTTACTGAATCTGAAAAATATTCAGTATTTAATGGTTTTTAACAATTTACTAGATAACCGAGTTTAACTTGGCAAGACTTTACTGGTGTGTTACATTGGAAAATAAATCCAGTTTGTAAAAAAACCGAGCTTGAGGAATTGAAAAGACGGGTTGGATTTCCTATACACAGTCGCACATTTTTGACACTCAATATGTCATATGCATATAAACTGGATCCAGATAAATAAGGTTAAAGGTGCATGAATATAATTGTTTGCATGAATATAATACAAATCTCTCTCTGAAGTAATACAATCAGTTTTTGTAATGATTTGTATGATACATATAATGTTTTTGATTCTACAGTATTGTAGTGTTCAAATGAACTGCTTAATTTCAACATGAATGCACATTTTTAAATGATTATTATTACTGGTTTAATCAAACAGAGTGAGTGTTTAAAGAGTTTTTGCTGTCAAGCAACTGAGTTTTCAATTATTTGTGTAGGTGGGTTATGAATATAAATTCTGTTTGCATGATTCACTTCATAAAAAGCCAGACTGGTCCTTGAACCCCTCATGATATTAGCACTTATTGTATAATGATCAATGCAATACCTAGATTTTCTCAGCAGCAATGCAGATATATCTTTTCTATAAGTAATGTATAAACTTTCAATGTTACTTTGTACATGATATGTTCATAAGACTAATAAAAACTCCACTGTGAAAACAAATTCCATGTTGCAATGTTTACCTACAAAGTGTTCTCTTTGCGGCACCCAGAATAATAATGAACAATATTAAATATTTACATTCACATCAATCTTACACATTTGCAATTGTTAAATGATATGGGCCTATGAGCTTTTAAAGTAAACATAACATTTATTATGTGTTATCTTAATATTTGTATTGCCTTGCTCAATATTTGAAAGAGAACGCACGTGCACATTTTTATTTATTTTAAAAGATGTTTGAATGGTGATATACACAGTGATATATGTTAAAGACTAACGTTTATAATAAATACATTTGTATTGATTTTAAGATCTTTTCATACAATCATACGTATTGGGATCATTTGTATTAATGTGGACCGGAGGGAGAGGGTGACGAGCATAAGTTTCACTTTCCTTTCTTATTTCAATTCCAACTTTGGTCATGAAGAATATGTTTCTCTGTTGTCCCCGTTCATAAAGCATAAAACAACAGCATCAGAGCACGGTGCAGAGTCTCTAGATGAGTTTACAGTAGTCCCTCGTTCTTATTATACATCCATGTTGTAGTCTGCTGTATAGAAAACTGTAGTTTCCATAGTTTCCCCACAGCAGCAGGCGCACATTTATGACCTCCGCTGGCGCATCATAAACACGTCGGATAGTGAAAGTGCAGTCGATTCTCTAAAGTACTGCAGTCTCTTCTCCTAAATCCTTTTGAATTCTCCTATCCACTATCCCTTAACCCCGTGACGTTTCACACAGAGGTCAAGGAATAGACGATAGGGTTAGAACTTAGGAGCTGTTTTTTTTACTATTCGACCGCAACCCTGGGCTGCGTTTCACTTCAGTTAAATGGATTCATCGAAGGATGGTCTGGTGGTTCCTCGATTATAGCTCCTCCGTTATCGCTCCTCGCTCCTCCGGCAAAAATAAGGCCATTGGGACGCTACTCAAGATGGCGCAGACAAATCAACTTCCGGTGAGACCGAGACCGGGGGTGTTTCTCAATCGCGAGTAAAGCTGCTTCAGAGCCACTATTTCAAGCATACTACGTCATCGAGTGCCGCCGAAGTACTGTTCCAATCTCCAGCATACTTGGAAATCTACCGAGCCCGGCGTACTCCGTTTGGAGAAATATCGAGGCTGCACATGAGTAGACTCCGCGGTCTTAAAATCCCCACAATGCTTTGCGCACGGACCAATTTCCCCAAATCTGTGGCGGAAGATGTAAGGCGGGGCCTCTCATATGACGCACACCTGCACACTTCCTAGCGTGTTCCACACTTCGTTTTTCGAATGCCAGGAAGTATTCTTGACTCGCTTCTGAAGCAAGATGCTCGGCAGACATGTGCTACCAAGCAAGCGTACTCGCGATTGAGAAACACCCCTGGGTTGCGGTCGAATAGTCCATTTAGCTTAGGAACCTTCCTAACGGAGTGAAATGACCCGGAAGTCCCTCAGTGGCAGCTAGACCATATTGATGATAAGTGCCGTTCGAATTCTCTAAATTAAAAGGAAAGGAGGTTTCAAACTTCCTTTATAACCTCCTTTAGCTTAGGAACCACTGGACCTCCCTAACCGAAAGGAGAGGATAAAATGCTGCCCCACAATGCCTTGCGGCCGCGGCATTTGCTGTCACAACAGTCGGCCGTTCACGGAAACAACCGATTATGAACAAGAAATGATATCATGAAAGTTACGGTGCTTATTAAGCATTTTAAAACGTATGTGGTAAGTTGCCAAAGTGCTTTGTTTTGAACGTTCATCAGTATTATACTGTAATCAAAAAGAAATGATCAAATAAAGTCAACAGCTGTGTGGGGTTTGTTCAACTTTTAAAAGATGTTTGAATGGTGATATACACAGTGATAGATGTTAAGGACTAACATTTATAATAAATACATTTGTATTGATTTTAAGATCTTTTCATACAATCATACGCAGTGGCGACTGGTCATTAGGGGCAGGTGGGGCACAGCCCCACCTAGTGTCAGCAGAAAGTATTACACATAATGAAAACAAAAAATGCAAAAAGATGCAAAAAAAGAAATAAAAAAATATATAAAATATATTTTAAGGTCATGTTTAATCATCTGATTCGTCTGTACATTGCTGTTTTAGTCTGTGTTCTTCTAATTAGTGTCTACAGTGCCGTTTTGAGCCATGTGGGACAAAACCTGATTCTGCCCCTCCCTCTCACTGTTTAAGTGAACGGTGACTGTAAAAACTACACTGCGCATGCTCAGAGTATTTTTCAATGGAATGTGTGTGGCAAAAAAAAAAAGACCAAAGGGGCACGGAGCTGCCATCCCCACCATACGTCAGCTCACATTATTCAGAACTGATTGGCTGTAAATATGTCACGTGTGCAGTGCTGCGAAACGTCACGTGTAGTGTGAAGAGAAGACGAGAGAGCAGCATATAGCTAACATCACCAGCGATTAAAAATAAGTAAAAAACGGAAAGAAAATGAATGAAGTTGACCATTTACTGGAGCACACATTTGAGACACTTAGTCTCGGAGAGAAACTGGAGGTAAAGCGCCTCGGTGCCCACCATCCACCGGATTTCCAAATGGTCCAGACTGCGGGCAAAGTGAACCGCGGGTTTAATGCTGAGTGGTTTGCTAAAAAGAAATGGCTAACGGCGAGCATCCAGAAGAATTCCCTCTTTTGCTTTCCTTGCCTGCTTTTTGGTGAAGATCAAGGTACTTGGTCGAGGACAGGTTACAAGGACTTAAAGCATCTTTCGGAGAGGACAATGAAGCATGAGAGCAGCAACAGTCACTTGGAAAATGCCGTAAAATTGGGATTACTGGGAAGGGTGAATGTTGCAGCTCAGATTGACAGCGCCTACAGACGCGGCATTGATGATCATAATAGAAAGGTGGAAGAAAACAGGTACGTGTTGGGTCGGATCATCACCTGTATTAAACTGTGTGGGAAATGTGAGACAGCACTGCGGGGCCACGACGAGTCGGCGGACTCTCTGAATCCAGGGATATTCAGGTCAATTTTCGAGACAATGTGTGAGGGCGATTCCAGGCTTCGACGGCACTACGAAGCTCAGCCCGTTTTCAAAGGGACATCAAGCACCATACAGAATGAACTCTTGGACTGCATGTATGATGTGTACAGGGAGGAAATATCCAAGCAAGTGGACAACACATCATTTGTTGCCGTTCAGGCCGACGAGCCAACCGATGTCTCATGTAAATCGCAAATGGTGATTGTGCTGCGATACATTATGCCTGACCTCACAGTTACAGAGCGTTTTTTGGAGTTTGTGGAAGTAAAGGACAAAACTGGTGTAGGTCTCTCTAACAGCATCAAGGCTGTTCTTGAACCCCTGAAGCTGAAAGAAAAGCTAATCGCTCAGACCTATGACGGGGCGGCCGTCATGAGCGGTAACGTGCGCGGGGTACAGACGGTCATGAAGGAGACGTACCCAAACGCTCAGTTTGTTCACTACTACGCCCACCAACTGAACCTGACCCTGCAGCAACTGTGTTCAGCAAGGATGAGCATCCTGAAGGTGTTTTTTGCAGATCTAACTGCTTTTTCCACTTTTTTCTCCGGTGCTCCAAAACGTGTTGCAGCTCTTGCAGAGGCAACACAGAGACGCATACCACGGCCACCGGCTGTGAGATGGAACTTTAAAAGCAGAACTGTGAACGCGGTTTGGGAGACCCGAGAAGCACTTCTTCAGTGTATGGACCATATACGCACACAACCAGGATGGGAAGCGGTCACCATAAGTGAGGCATACGGCCTGTCAAAGAAACTGCGGGACCGAGCATTTATGCAGCTCCTGGAGTTTTTTTCGTTGCTTATGCCAGAAGTGGATGTTTTATACAACACTCTGCAAAAACGAACCATCGATGCACCTGGGATCAACAGCGCGCTCTGCCGCTTCAAGGAAAATGTCCAGAAAATGAGGCAGCAAACTGATGCATTGGCCGCCACCACTCATGATGGAACAGACGAGCCAGGCCGACGAGTCAGCAGCACAGCGCCGGTAATGAAGGAGGCATGTGACACAGTCATCTCACAGGTGGAACAGAGGTTCTCACAGAGTGACCATTTGATCGCTGCAAAGCTCGTTGACAGCTCATTCTTCCCACAGCATGTCCTGTCATTTCCTACACCTGAGCTTGACTGCGCAGTGAAATTGTGGCCTGCTTTGGGAAACAAGGAGAAGTTGAAGTCTGAGCTGACCACGCTCTACCGCCACAGTGAACTTCACACTGGAAACACTGCCCTGTCTCTGTTGAAATCCATTCACGAGAACAACTTGGAGGATACGTTTGCTGAGACTGTTATTTTGGTCAAAATAATAGTAACAACTCCGATGACGACATCCGAGTCAGAGAGGAACTTTTCCACCCTCAAAAGGATAAAGACTTTCACTCGCAACACCATGGGACAGCTGCGACTTAACGCATTGGCCATGCTTTCAATTGAAAGCCAGTTGATCCAGCAACTACAGGACTTCATCCCCAAAGTGATAGAAACATTCTGTCAGAGGAAGGACCGCCGTGCCGCTTTTCTTTTCAAGTGAGCCTTCAGCTTTGGTAAGTTCATTTATGTCATATATTTTGTTGATCTTCTGTGTTTTGCCTCTGCTGGATCGATTGATATTGTGACCTCGGTGATGAGTGTCTGTGTTTTCCTTATATTTACAGTCTATGGTGTTTTAATGCTAAAGCATTATGGTGGTTGTTGTTGTTGTTAAGAATTGCTTTGTGATGGTGCCCTTTACTTATGTATTAAGGTGCATTACAATATGACATCCCCACGCTGTGTACCGTACATTTACGTACACAGTGTACGTACACAGTGTACGTAAATGTATGCGCTGACAGTGTTGCTCCGTGTGGTCTTCAGTATGTAATTTGACACTCCCCCTCTCTCTCTCTCCCCCCCTCTCTCTCTCTCCCCCCCAACTCTCTCTGTCCCCCCCTCTCTCTCTCTCCCCCCCCACCTCTCTCTGTCCCCCCCTCTTTCTCTCCCCCCTCTCTCTCTCTCTCTCCCCCCCCCCTCTCTCTGTCCCCCCCCCTCTCTCTCTCTCCCCCCACCTCTCTCTCTCTCCCCCCACCTCTCTCTCTCTCCCCCACCTCTCTCTGCCCCCCCAGTTTTGTACACATAGAAACGCCACTGATCATACGTATTGGGATCATTTGTATTAATGTGGACCGGAGGGAGAGGGTGACGAGCATAAGTTTCACTTTCCTTTTTTATGTCAATTCCAACTTTGGTCATGAAGAATATGTTTCTCTGTTGTCCCCGTTCATAAAGCATAAAGCAACACCATCAGAGCACGGTGCAGAGTTTACAGTAGTCCCTCGTTCTTATTAAACATCCCTGTTGTAGTCCGCTGTATAGAAAACTGTAGTTTCCATAGTTTCCCCACAGCAGCAGGCGCACATTTATGACCTCCGCTGGCGCATCATAAACACGTCGGATAGTGAAAGTGCAGTCGATTCTCTAAAGTACTGCAGTCTCTTCTCCTAAATCCTTTTGAATTCTCCTATCCACTATCCCTTAACCCCATGACGTTTCACTCCGAGGTCAAGGAATAGACGATAGGGTTAGACTTATATATACAGTCTATGGTTAGAACTTAGGAGCTGTTTTTTTTGGAGTATTCGACCGCAACCCGAGTCTCAGGGAGGTCCCCGGAAGGGGAGGGACTTCACCTCAGTAACAAACGGAAAATCGTGTGTGTGTCCCGTGTTTATTTCGCATTGCGTCCTGGTTCTTGTAGTCCATTTTCTACCTTCCTCTGTTGTTGTCTCTGCAGAGCTGCACTGCTCCGCCACTATGATGTATTCGGGCAGCTCAGTCTTACAACCACCTGAATCTGGAATGGGAGGTTTGTAATTGAACTCAAACACTAAACAATATGCAAACTTGCTATGTGCTGTCCCATTGTGCTTAGCGGCGCTAGCTAACTAAGTTAGCATGCAAACTAGCTCGCAGCTTGAGTTCTGTCGCTAATTTCCTGACGTTTGTCACCGTCACAACTAGATACGAAATTCACGGAATGTTTAAAGAGTTCTTTTTCTTTTTCAGGAAACAAGAGGATACCGTGTCCGCTACACGGCTGTAAGCGGGTATACACAGACCCGGCCGCTCTGGAGAGCCACATCAAGGACCATGAGATCGCAGCGCAGTCTCTGCCGGGTGAGGAGGCTCAGGGTGGACGTGAGGAGACCGCTCTCTGAGTGGGTCATGGGTCAGCACTCAGCGGGTTATCAACCATAGATTAGTTATTTTAATTTAAGTCAATAGCAACTTAATGCAGATGAATGACTCCCAAAGCAGTGGTGTAAAATACATTTACTCAAGTACTGTACGATTTTGGGGTACTTTACTTGAGAATTTCTACTTTTTGCTACTGTGTATCAAAAAACAGCTGAACTACAATTCTGAGGTAAATGGTGTACTTTTACTTCACTACATGTATTTAATCCCTTTAGTTACTTTACAGATGTGGATGAATGATGTGAAATCTAATCAAGTGTTAAATCAGACTTTAGTTCCACCTGGAGTAAATCCACAAGCTGCCCTGCAGTATACAAAGTCATTCAAACTAGCTGCACCTTTACCAGCTTTGAGAACACTTTAATGATCAATCATTATAAAACATATCATATATATTTTTCTGAAAAGGACCAATCTGCAGAATGAGTACTTCTGCTTTTGGTACTTTAAGTATATTTAGATGCAATACTACATACATGCCAACCTTTCCAAATCCAAAAGAGGTAGGTTTGCGCGCGGCAAATGTGCACGCCCAAATTAGGTAATTAGAAGAAATTACATGTATAAACCATGTATTTAACATATATTGCATCATTTTATGCATTTTATGCATTTTTCAGAAAAAGTGGTAGTTTGGTAAACAGTGACATCAACGACATGTTTGGTCTGTAAAATGCCCAAAAAGTAAAAGAATGGGAGATAAATATCCCAAAGTCTCCACATTTTCTTATATTTTTAATGTGTTTCTGGTCCTCTTTCAGTTGAGACAGTGGAGATGAAGGATGTGTCAGGATGTAGAACTCTTGTGTGAACATCAGATAAAGCCAGGTTCATATTCTTGTTTCATGTTGTTGACATATTAGAGTCAAAGGTTTGCACAGAGCGAAATATCTTTGTGTTACGCCATAAATCAGAAAATAATGCATTAAAAGTCATTTCCTGCATTTTTCTACTGATAAAGTGTGATTATAAATAATGTACAGGCTTTCAGATTGCTGTAGTTCACTAAACAGAGACATTAACGACATGTTTGGTGTTGAAAATGTCAGAAAAAGTGAAAGAATGGGAGATAAATATCCCAAAATCTCAAAATTGTATTATATGTTGTGTGTGTTTGTGGTCCTCTTTCAGTTGAGACACTGTAGGTGAAGGATGCTTCAGGAAAAGACCAAACACTGGATGTCTTTCAGTCGCCAACATGTGTTTTCGAGACACTGATAATTAACGGGGAAACCCTGCAGGACTCAAATGCCTCGTCTCTGTTCCCCTAACTCATTTGGGAGTGAATACCCATCAGCCCCAGGGGTAACGCTGCCCTTCCTCTGCACGTTGTTTCTCTTTCAGAAACACTGGCCATGGCCGTTTCTCAATGTCGAGTATACCTGCTGCAGAGCCACTATTTCAAGTATACTACGTCATCGAGTGGCGCCGAATGCTGGGCATTTAACATGCATTTAAACAGTCCTTCGGCGCCACTCGATGACGTAGTATACTTGAAATACTGCTCTGCAGCAGGTTTACTCGACATTGAGAAACGGCCACAGAGCACTGTTTGTATGATGGGATCACAGACACGCTGCAAACAGTGTCCGCCAAAAGTCCAGTCCAGTGTCTATGTAGTGTCATTTTTATTTGTTATAGTTTAGGAAGATTGAAAATCGGTAGGGAAAGCCAGCTAAGTCGGTAGGCGGTAGAAACATGTCAAAAGCGGTAGACTACCGCCCAAATCGGTAGGGTTGGCAGGTATGATACTATTGTATTTCTACTTAAGTAGCATTACAAATGCAGGACGTTTACTTGTAACAGAGTATTCCTACACACTGGTACTTCTCATTTTACTTAAGTACAAGATCTGAGTACTTCTCCAACCTCTGTCTAAAGGAGAAGGGGTTGGCAAGGTTTGTTTTTAACATTTTAGTAGTTGTATGTAACTTGACCACGAGCTATCCTATCTATTAGCACATTCATTACACTAGTACTCCATGTTAATTAATACATTTGACACACTTGACAGAATAAGTCACATCCCATTAAGGACTTCATTCCAGCGGTAATTCGCCCCGGGGGGCACCTGTAATCCCAGAGAGCAAGATGAATGCTACATGTCATTCAGATTAGTAGTAGTAGTAGTAGTAGTGGCACAACCTCCTGTAAAGGGCATAATGTGTGCAGACACTTTAGATTAAAAAAAAAGGCCACGTGTTTTTTCTAAAATCCTACTTATGAGAACATAGATGCTGTCAATGTGTGGTTAGAAAAAACACAATAAAGATAACACTACCTTAAACAAGTAGTTATATTGGTTCAAACAAGGTCCATTCCGGCTGTACTTTTTAGTTTTATTGAGTTTTTGGTTGGAGATGAGAATGGAAGGTCTGCATGGCTGCATAGTGAGAGAACCTTCATCATGTTCTCACTGTGTCCTCCCCTCAGGAAAGGTGATGCTGTGCTCCACGGTGGGGTGCAGTGGTTCCTTCCCCAACATGCAGAAGCTGATTGAACACATGAGGCATCACCACAAACCCAACATATTCTTCGTGTGAGTCTGACTGGCCATGCACTCTCAGCTGACATACTGTGCATTAGTAGAAATGTTTCATCCTGTGTATTCAGAAGGAAAACATAGGGAGGGGAGGATACAGGATTTTATCGCAAATCACAATAAAAAAATACTCCATTATCAGGATTATTGTAAACATCCTTGCAAGTGACTTGAAAAATCATGGTAATAAAGGGTCAAATAGAGCATGATTAAAAATACTCGAATAATAAGAAAGAACAAACTCAAATAATTCCCTTGATTCGAATAATTTATTTATGATTAATGGTTACCCTATTTAAAGTGGACCTATCATGCTATATTTGAATAATATATTGTAGGGCCATACCTATATAAGGTATATTTATACGTTTTCTTTTTCAAAATACCAAACAGATCATGCATTTTAGCCATGCCTCATTTCGCTCTATTTTGCTCTCCTCCACCCTGTCTTTGCATGCGCTGCAGCTGACCACGCCCCCCTGCAAAGGAGGGGGCCGAGTTACGAGTGTAACCATGCTGTTACCATGCCACGGCAACCTCTCATTCCCCTGATAGGTGGAGAGTTGGCCCAATAGCCGTAGCGCCACCGTCCTGACGTCAGGAAAGTGTTCAAATCTGGATCAGTTTTTATCAGATCCGTTGCAGCCCCTTTTTTAGAGATTTGGGTATGGAGGAAAAGAGAGAGGGTTGTGTTTTCTGACACTTGGTGAGTTCCCTGGAACACCGGGGACACATATTCATGTAGAAAAGACGCACAAAAGTGCATTTTGTATGATAGGTCCCCTTTAAGTTATTCTTAACTAAAACGGATAGATAGATAAATACTTTATTGATCCCAATTTGGGAAATTATTTAAGACGTTAACTAACAAAGGTGTTTTCTATCTGTGATGCAATACAAATACTTGTTCCTTCAATAAATCAAATGTAAAGTAATTCCAGTAGGATTTATAGCCGTTTCACAAGCTTGGGCATATGTTTGAAGATTCTCAAGATAACGTAGTGAATTGAGATTATTTTGTGGAGGATAATCATGACCTGATACCTTACCTCTGTCCCACCCAACGCCTGAATGTGTTGCATTGTGTGTCAGCTGCTAACATCTTCTTTCTGTGAAGGTGTGAGAGTTGTCGCACAAAGTTGCGTTCCTACCGCGGCCTCCTGACCCACCTGCACACCTGCTCCAAAGTGATGCGGGGGAAAGCCAAGCCCACTGAGCCAAACATGGCCCCCATGGAGGTGGATCAGAAGCCCCCCTGGCTGGAAGCAGCATCTGCCCCCTCTCAGATCCTGAACCCAGACCCCTCCTTCCCAGCTGCGGTGAAGCCGGGGCCCGATGGCCCCCCTCTCCTCGGCCCCCCCTTCATGTCTAACCTGGAGCCCGCCCCCCCCCCATCCTGCTCCTCCAAAGCTCACAGAGGCGGCTCCACAGCCCCCCATCAGGAGTGACGCCTCTGATCTGACTCCGTCCTTACACTTTGGGGCCCCACCATTGACTCCCACCCAGGGGCAGCACCCGACACAGACCAGGTCCCCTGAGGACGTCCACCCCGCTCCAGCATCAGCTCCAGCATCAGCTCCTCGCTCTCCTCCTGGGCCCTCGGCTGTGTGGAGGAAGAATCAAGGTGAGCATAACCTGGCAGATGTGGCTCCACCTTAACTTTCAAACCGCCTTAAAGTGCACCATGTTAACATCATTGAAGGCCAGTTCATACTTTCTGAGTGTGTGTGTCTGCCAGGTTCCACTGTGGTCCTCATCACTCAAATGACTTCATCCAAAATGTTATGTATGCCCCAAAGCTGTATACATTTGGGGCATACATAACAAATACAAAAATAACCTACAATGCAGGATGAGGCCCAAATGTATTTCTTAAATAAAACAACGTATTTAGTATAGTATAGTAAAGAATCTGGAGTTTCTGAAATAAAGGTACAATAGATTTTGTTACCTTGCAGACTGAACACTTGACGACAAATGTTGTCCTACCTGTAGCCAAGAATAAGAAAAGAATATGTATTGTTTTAAAGAGAGGTTGTGTAAGCAGTCTTCTGTGGAACACAAAGGCAGCCATATGGCGTTATACTCCTGGCACAGGCAGACATTCAGTTGTAAATGGAACAGCATGCACATCTTTGGAGAGTACGTGTGAGATCAAAAGCTGCAGACTCACTCAGGCTGACATCAACTTCCTCTGTAAAGACAGAAGAAATAAGATTTTTTTGTATTTTTCATTTTGTCAAGACATTCATTTGTCGTTCCTTTTGTCAGGGTCCTGCAGCAGCCGCATCCTGTGGGAGCACACCAAAGGGCGCTACACGTGTGTGCAGTGTGGCCACATGGTGATCAGCCGTAAAGAGATGACTCAGCACATCTCCACTAAACACAGCAGGAACAAAGCTGCAGAAGACACAGGGAGCGCTGCCACCAACACGTAGAGAGGAGGCAACATGTCTCTTGTTCTCCTCAGGAACTAAAGTACATTACCCTTTTTATTCTGCGTTGAAAGCCTGCAGCAGTGATTCATGAACTGAGTATATATTTCATTGATTGCCACAAAGCACTTTTATTGCTTCCAGGAAACCATACGACTTTTCACCAAATCTCAGACTGCTGCCACATGTCCTCCTGCTCATCTTTGAAGACTTTTCAGCTAAATACAGTTCATTACTAATCTCACTATTGGTGAAAAATAAAGAGCTTTTTTAAGCATGGAGACATGTCACCGTAGAGGCACCAAATACTAATATGAACCAGAAAAGGAGCAGAATATGGCCCCTTTAATCATTTGACTTCAGTGCAGGAGGCCATTCTCGAGACAGATGGAGAATAAAAACTGCAAGAGACATGCAGGACCTAGCCTATTTACGAACCTTAAGTTGTCATTTTTTGAAACTTCAATTTATATTGTATCAAAATTATTATTATCTGTTTATAAAAATGTTCTAGTCCTTGATTTTTTTTTGTACCACTTTATAAGGACCTGTGATAGGTACTTGTGTGCACTGGATGATTCATGTGTTTCCCAGTGAATTGTCCATGAAATACCTTAATAAGAAAAGACAGGGTAAAAAAAAAAAAAACAGTTTTTATTGGGGTCAGAATGAGTTGATACAAGCACTCAGGCTCCCTCCATGCCTCTGTACATCCAAAACATGCTCCTGAACATCCAGCCCCTCCCCTGTATAATATGACCATGAACACATCGAGACAAACCACATGACAAGGGTCCCACTCATCACCAACATGTCAATAATTACGTTACCACATGCAGACTGTAGTGCTGTTTTCAACAAACAAGTCCCATCACATAGATGGAGGAGGGGGGGGGCATTTACATTAATCTATACTTTAAAAAAACATGGGAAAGGGGGGCTCTTACACATTGGTCTGTCAACACTATTCAGACACATGTGGGTTTTCAAAACGAAATTAATGCTCCATTATTTTACAGCCCTGCAGTTTCAATCTATTCATTTATGTTACCAAACAAAGCCTGCTGAAAATTAACTGGAAATTAAAGTGTTTTTATTTCACATGATGGCCGGTTGTCAAGAAAAGAACCCTCATGGTAAACAAGTGCATACAAAAAAAAGATTAAGTGCCGACTGTCCAACCCCCAGATCAGGCAATGATGATTTGTTTTTAGTTTTATTATCACAACTATGTTCAGTTTCTTGAGGCTTTTTAAAAAAATCTCTGCTGGTCCACTGCGTACATCTTTCCTGCCGGGAGCTTCCGGAAAAATAAACTGTTGCCTCTGCTCATGTTGCCCTGGAAACAAGAGAAGATAAGAAGTGCTTAGAAGTGTCTGGTGTGTACAATGTTGAAAACGGTTGATCTTTTCAAGGAAACATTTAGTAACGAGAAGGTGATAAGTGATGTCATCCTGCAGCTACATGAACTCATATTAGAACCAATATCACAAAAACAGCTAATGACGAAATGACTTCATTATGAACATTATTAGTCCAGACTGCAGCTGGACCTGATGAAATGATTATGGGAAAGTACTAATCTAGGTTTTATAGCATCAAAATATACTGAAAATACCAAAAGTATCCACTGATGTTGCAGCTGGTGGAGCTTTTTTTTAATGCTGGATGGTTTAACATAAAATAATTGCATCATTACTGATTATTTATATTTTTTCTTTACAAATTGCATTCATCTGAAAACGTCAAAAGTATCAAAATCTTTCAAACAAATGCAGTAAAAAATAATTATTTCTTATGAGATGTAGTGAAGAAGTATAACGAAGCAGACAATACCTAAAATTGCACTGTAGTAAAGTAATTGTAAATATACTTGTTACTATATTTGTTATGAATAATGACAACCAGGTAGAAAATGGGACATGTTTCATGAGAATATAATTACTGAAACATTTAACGAGATAACAAAAACATGTTTTCACTGACTGACAAATCCCAGCACTCATGTTAGCATAATTATACATATTACAAACTTCTTCTTTTTTATTCTGGCTTGAAATATATAAATTCAAGCACTCATCTCTATTAGATGGAGCTAGTACAAGTAACAAGTACAGTACTTGAGTATATTTACTTAACTGTCCACCACCGTTCATGATTTAAAAAAAACAACCAGGTAGGACAAAAAAGCAGCGCCTTGTAATGTAATGTTTCAGCGATATATAATTACTTAAAAAGTAATAGGAAATTAAAAATGTAAACACGTTTTCACTCTCTGATGAATCCCAGGATTTGTGTGCATTATATTGAGTTGAATAATATATAGTAAATATGATGCGTGTACCTCTCTGCTGAGATGCCTCCAGCAGTCCACCCAGGTGGGGTATACTGAGGCGTAGGGGGGCAGACCTCCAGCCAGCCTGTGGAAACACAGTTCATTAAAGTCTGTAGGATCAAACTCTCCTGAGGATTTAAAGCAGAGGATAACCGGAGCACTCACCCGCAGTTATTAACAGCCATGAGGTTTGACACCAGGACAAAAGGGTATGTGAGCATACTGGCGAAGAACTGGAAGAGAAGAGCAGAGCAGCATGAAGAAACTACACACTGCAGGCTGACAGGCGGCCATGTTGGTTAAACTCACCCCCGTCACTGCCTGGGAGCAGTTCTTGATTTCTCCTGTGTGACTCATCTGTAAAGAGGAACACATCAGCAGTTAGTTATCTGTGAGCCCGAGTGGAGACAAAACAAACCCTGTGCATGGAGCGGAAGCAGTGGGGTTGAAACAGAAAACCAAGATTTGTGGATACAAATGTATTAATTTATTTACTCATTTTATATGTATTATTTGTGAATTTACGCCAGCTTCAGGCAAACAACACTGAGCCTGATAAGTTGTTGCAGGCGACTAAATTAAATGGACCGTTTTTTGGATAATTATTTCTGTAGGATTGAGAATTGTTGAAACATTGCGATGGTGAGAGTACACACCATAACACTAGTCAATCTCCATTACAGGGTAAATCCTGCCTGATAGGTACCCCCCCCCCCCCCCCCTTTACAGAACACAGAAGCAATGACTGAGTCCTGAGTGTGAGAGAAAGCATACCGAGTCGTCGATGGCATACGTGTTGATGGCGTGGGCTAGCAGGTTACAGATCCACAGAGACAGGACGTCACAGAGCAGGCGGGGTATCAAACCACTGGAGGAACACAACAGGATAAGATTCAAGGTTCAAAGGTTTTATTGTCATACAGTTACAGTACAGCTACAGTGAAGAAATGGCAATGAAAATCTTATGACCCGAGCTCGAGCTCCTCCAACAATGCAAAAAAATACAAAATAGTGCAAGAAGTCTATATACATGTAATAGAATATGATATATACAAGAACAGAATGTGAACTGTTTATTGCGGTGATAACTACTTAGATAAGTAGATTGCAAGATGACAAACAGATGAATGTTTATGGAGGCACTTTACAGAAATCAGGTGTTTAGCAGTCTTATGGCCTGTGGGGTAAAACTGTCCATAGGCCTTATGGCCTGTGGGGTAAAACTGTCCATAGGCCTTATGGCCTGTGGGGTAAAACTGTCCATAGGCCTTATGGCCTGTGGGGTAAAACTGTCCATAGGCCTTATGGCCTGTGGGGTAAAACTGTCCATAGGCCTTATGGCCTGTGGGGTAAAACTGTCCATAGGCCTTATGGCCTGTGGGGTAAAACTGTCCATAGGCCTTATGGCCTGTGGGGTAAAACTGTCCATAGACCTTATGGCCTGTGGGGTAAAACTGTCCATAGGCCTTATGGCCTGTGGAGTAAAACTGTCCATAGGCCTTATGGCCTGTGGGGTAAAACTGTCCATAGGCCTTATGGCCTGTGGAGTAAAACTGTCCATAGGCCTTATGGCCTGTGGGGTAAAACTGTCCATAGGCCTTATGGCCTGTGGGGTAAAACTGTCCATAGGCCTTATGGCCTGTGAGGTAAAACTGTCCATAGGCCTTATGGCCTGTGGGGTAAAACTGTCCATAGGCCTTATGGCCTGTGAGGTAAAACTGTCCATAGGCCTTATGGCCTGTGGGGTAAAACTGTCCATAGGCCTTATGGCCTGTGGGGTAAAACTGTCCATAGGCCTTATGGCCTGTGGGGTAAAACTGTCCATAGGCCTTATGGCCTGTGGGGTAAAACTGTCCATAGGCCTTATGGCCTAATTATCCAAATAACGGACTGTTAAACAGCTGAGCTCTGTTGAGTGCCTCGATATGACTCATTAACACATCAGCAATATTAGGAACAATAATCGTGCTGGATATACATTATACTACTGTGAGAGAAGAAATGAAAAATACAAGTCTTCCTTTCTCCAGGCTGTTTAACTATGTGGGTTTAACTCTAGATAAACGTCCTGTTTGTAATGTTTTAATGATGATTACACGTATTCATTTCACTGTCCATTCTACAGCTGATATTACATAGTTTATACTTTTTTGGGATTGATCAACATATTTTCACACCCCACTTAAAGCTCAAAGTTTCTGTCCCTTTCTCGCTCAGAGTTGCTACGCTTGGACTCCTTGCTAGAAATGTTCATGCTTTCGCAGAAAGTCTATAACCAGAGGAGTATAAGGAGAAAAGGAAAGACAAGGAGAGTGAGACTTACGCAAAGAATCCCAGCATGCCTTCTTCTCTGTAGATTGTGACGATGGAGTCAAACACCCCACTGAGGATAGAAGATATATATTTATTTGTTTAAGTTTTTAATAAATGTTAAGGTCATTTCATTGAGGTGTGTGTCTATCATGAAAACATTACCTGTATTTTGTTTCCCTCCCAATAAACTGGACCATACATCGCAAAGTAATCACTGAAAAACAAGTGGAGGGAAACAGAGTTGACATGTCTCCCCACACACAAATCAAACAAACGTATGCTGTATCACAAGCCAGAAATACATCCTCTTACCATGAAAGGGATGTGTGACTATGGTGGCACAGGACCGAGCCACCATCTCTTTGGTTGTCTGAGGAAAATAAGGAAAAAATAATGAACTCATATAATCACATAAAACATTTAAGTAAACCTTATCAGAATATTGTTAATAGGCGCTTTCACACCGCAGTACTTTTCCCACAAAGGTTCATTAGAACTTAGTTCATCAGAACTCTTTAGTTCTCATGAACTAAGAGCAGATCGCGTTCACACCGGAATAAGTTCCTGGGGAAGGATTAGTCAAATGAAGCCGCTGACGTCACTTCTTCTTCTTCTGCTTTGGGTTTACTGGCAGGCCGCAAACAACTTCCTGCTGGGACTCCCAGAACGCCGACACCTCCTCATCTCCACCGCTCCCATGTTTTCTTTTGTGTTGCCATAAGTTAGTCTCTCTGCGTTTGTGCGCTGGGCTAATGCTAATGCTAATAATGCTAATGCGAGGATAATAAAATGACGGCTTCACAAAACTTTTTGGGAGTTTTACGGGGCGTGGTTTGCATTCCGCCCAGCCAATCAGACATAGGAACCTTTTTCTCCCACGAAAGTACCTGCTCTCTAGCAGGGACGTAAAAAGGGGGTAAAAAAGGTTCTGATGAACTAATTTTAGTTCCGGATTTTTTTGGTGTGAACGCAACATTTCGGAACTATATCGGAACTAAAGTGGGAAAAGTACTCCAGTGTGAACGCGCCTAATGAGCTTTATGTTGATATTATTTAAACGTTTATTTTCTTGCTGTTTTTGTTAATAGTACACACATTATTTAGTTTAAGTATTATAATTAATTTAAGTTGTGTTTATGCTTTTATTTTGAAGGCAGCTTTGGGCCTGGGTGATGAGGCATTAGAGACAGGTTGGGGTGGGACTGGCGCAAAGAGAACACATTTCTTTTTACCAGGAAAAGACACAAGGAGGCCACAGGAAACAATAAGGGCAAGATGGGTAAAACTGTTGTTCATTGTACTCATTTGGATCATTGGAATAAAAAGGCACAATGCCTCGACATTAGAACAGTTCGCTGTGTAAAATAGCAGCTTTATTTTGAGTTCATTTTCAGTTTTCTTCTTTATGATCGAGATGATGTTATCATTAGACGTATCTTTGAGATTTCCTTCCAGACAAATGTTTAGTTTGCTCCTCCGCAATGGGAACCGCACAACCATGCTAGCAGTGGGGAGAGCTAAACTCAAAAGGTTGCAATTTGAATTTCTTTAATAATTATTTTACAAAGATTGGAAAAAAGGTTATCAATATACAACATTATTTTTTGCAATATTAAAGTAGTGGTGGTGGTAATAATGTAGAAAAGTTCATTATGTTGTGCTTTTGTGTTTTAATTTATGTTTTTACTGAATCTGGTTGATGCCAACAATTCATTTTTTGCAAAGACGTATGAAAACTAAAGTGATTTTAATGGAACATCACTATTTAAAGCTTATATTTTGATTGTTTTTCCTGATAGGAGCATGTGTGAAACATTATGCGCGCAATAACCGTCAAAAATATGAAAATCTCACAATAATGTATTTTATTATAGTTCTTTGGCTATGACAAATGGTCTGGAGTCATTTGGTAAATTGTTTTGAAGCAAGCATGCCATTCAAACCTGCTAGCGGGTTGTGTGTTTAGGGGGCTAACGCAGCACAGAACTAAAGTATTACAGATTTAATAAGAACACACATGCTTGCAGGAATTTTATAGCACAAACTAAGACAATTAAAAATGAGTGTTACGATACGGCTGCTATACGTTTTCCAAACCACCAGATGTCACTGTGTTTGGCACTGTGAGAAACCCTGAGTTTTTCTAACCTTTTGCCGACTACATCGAGAGAAGTGAGAGTTGTGGGAGGACTTTGCCCGGCTTCAATACACTCTGATAGGCTGTCATTATTTGAACAGTGTTATAGATTAAACAGACAGAGTATGGCATTCTGTCAGTCCCACAGTATAAGTGTAGTGTGTGAGAGTGGTACCTCATTAACAACGTGCTGCAGGGAGCCCTCTGCAGCTTTCTGCTGACCTCCCAGAACCTGGAGAACAGAACAAACCTCAGAACCATCCACATCACATCACAGTATGTTGTAATGGCACAAACAATGAATCCGACTAAAAACTCTTACCTGAAGTGTGCCTTCTTCTTGACATTTCTGTAAGAAACTAGAGGTTAATATGATACAACTGAAGGATTCATGAATTTACAACTTTACATTAAGAAATGAGTTTAACCTTCTTGAATAACATTAAATGAAATCCATTTATCAGGCATCAGTAATCACTCAGGATGTTCAGATATCAGTTTGTATTAGCTGCATAGAAATCCTGATTTAAAATTAGATGAGCGGTTAACATCAACCTACAAACATCGAGTCTAATCAGTTTATAAATGATGCAAAGAAAAGCCTAATTAATAAATGTGGAACAACCTCACTTGAAATACAATTTAAAAGTATTTAAGACCCATCTTTTTTATTTTATTTAAAAATTGGGCTAATTAGGCTTTATTGCTTTTATTGTCGCACTTTGGGCTTCTTCCTTGAATGAAAGGTGCTATACAAAAAAGTGTTGTATTATTACCATTACTGTATCCTTACTTCTATCTGAAGAACCAGCTAAATGTGTGCTACAGTACGATGTATTCAGTCCTACCTGCAGTACTCTGCTGTGCACTATGGTCCCGATGGAGCCGGCACAGAGCCTGGGACCGAGCCCTTTGAACAGTCCTGCTTTCCCATCAATCTTGATGATGTGTTTTGCTGAAAGTCAGAAAATACACAAAAGTTGGAAAATGACCTTCTCAAAACAGTAGACCACAAATACATAGTTACAGATTTTAGAAAGGATTAATATAATATTAGTTATCTATATGACCCATGGTTTGTACGTGAGAATTTGTCGCTGTAAGGTAGGCAGCAGTCAAATACAAATAAACACATTTTTCCAAGTGGGACTGGTTCTTGAGTATTTTTAGAGGTAGTTTGACAAAATAAATAAAAAAACAAAGCTGTATTTGTCAGATCTCCACAGCAACAAGCTGTTTGGTCCTGCAGCATCTGAACCAAACCACCAGACTCAGGGACAGTTTCATCCAACAGACCATAAGTCTGTTCAATTCCTGAGCTCTGTGAAGCATCACCACTTATGCATATTAATAATATGCTGGTTATTTGTGTATCTGTTTGTCCCTCATATCCACTGATTTATATATTGTTACAGTTAACAGTATTTATTATACCGCACCGTTTATATGTACACACTTTTCAAATTACTTGAACCATTTTGCTATGGCACTATTTTATATCTTTAACTGTTATGTTAAGTGTATATTGCATTGTTGTCTAAGCCTGCAAACGATATTTATCGAGTATATGACAAATAAATCGTTTAAACCTTTGAACTTTAAGACACTTTCAGCAGATGATGATTTAAAACATTTATATTAAAACCCCCTTTACATTAGTAAAAAAGGGTTTGCTTAAATAAATCAGCCAACAAAAGGCAAAGAAGAAGTACACTGTTATCAAGTGTTCTATGGAGGATAAAATGCACTCGACCTCAGGGGACCATGATGCATTTCTGCAAGAAACATTAGCCGCGTTCACACCAAGTACTTTGCCGTACTTAATTCCCAGCACTTAGTTCCCCTATGGAACTAAGAGCCGATCGCGTTCACACCGGAATAAATTCCCTGAGGGAAGATTACGCAAACGAGTCGCTGACGTCACTTCGTCTTCTTCTGCTTTGGGTTTACTGGCAGGCCGCAAACAACTTCACGGTGTATACTGCCACCCGGAGTCCCCGGCCGGAAGTCCCCGGAGTTGGGAGTCCCAGCAGCTTCTACTGAAGCCTTCCGAGTAAATCGCCAGAACGCCGACACCTCATCTCCACCACTCCCATGTTTTCTTTTGTGTTGCCATAAGTTAGTCGCTCTGCGTTTGTGCACTGGGCGAATGCTAATGCTAATAATGCTAATGCCAGGATAATAAAATGGCAGCTCTACAAAACATTTCAGAGTTTTACGGGGCGTGGTTTGCAATTCGCCCAGCCAATCAGAACTGGGGCACTTTTTTCCACCTCTCAGCAGGCACTAAAAATAGTACTCTTTTTGGTGTGAACGCGACATAAGGGGTACTAACGGAACTAAACGGGAAAAGTACTGGGAAAAGTACTCCGGTGTGAACGCGCCTATTAGCTGAATAGCACTTTGTTTACTTGTATCACAGGGCACCTTAATGGAAATCGAAACACTAATGCTCTCATCAGTGTTTTAAAAGTCTCCTATTATGCTATTTTTAGGCATATATTATGAGTCTCAGATATATAAAAATCATGTCTATGATGTGTTTTGCTCAAAATACCAAACAGATCATGCATTTTAGACATCGTGATTTACGTCATATCCGCAGCAAATCTAGATCAGCTCCGTTGTACCCCCGTTTTTAGAGATTTGGGTACGGAGGAAAAGAGAGAGGGTTTTGTTTTCTGACACTTTGTGAGTATCCTGGCACACCGGGGACACATTTATTAGGGCTGTCAAGTTAACGCGTTAATAACGTGTTAACGCACATTTCTTTTAGCCCCATTCATTATTTTAACTTGCGATTAACACATTTGTATTTGTCCTCGGCCCGCCCCGTAGTTTCAGAGCCCAAAGGCTTGACGTTGTTGTTGTTGTTAGTTGGATGGTGGGAGATTCTAGCGAGAGATATGGATACAAAAAAAGGTGTTTTAAACAGCAAGCCAAGCACACAGCTGATGCTGACAGCCCTGCTCCTGCCGCTCGCTTGCGGCAGACCACGGTTGAAAGTTTGCCGGGGAGACGCCTGGACACGTCTATGAGCAGCAAGCTTTCAACAGCGATAACTAAATGGGTGGCTACAGCTTGCAGGACAATTAACATTGTGGAGGACGAGGGACTGTGTGAGATAATTCGGATCGCATCCAACGTGTCGACTGCAATCACAGCGCATTATTTTGACCCACAGTGGGAACTTCAGTCTCATGCTTTGACTGTTATGAAGACAGAGGAGCGGCATTTCACCGACAACTGTAAACAGGCTTGTCTGTTTGAGCAACTGGCTCAGTGCAAAGGCACTGAGCCAGTTGCTCAAACAGACAAGCCACACAGTGTTGGGAGATAGTGTAAGAGAGAGAGAGAGGTTCCAGGTTGTTGTATTGAAAATATTCAGGAGAATATTTATCATTGTTCCAATGATAAACAAACATTTGCATAAAGCATATTTGTCCACACATATGTTGATAAGAGTATTAAAAACTTGAAAAATATTCCTCTAAGGTACATTTAGAACAGATAAAAAATGTGTGATTAATCGCGATTAACTATGGACATCATGCGATTAAATATTTTAATCAACTGACAGCCCTAATATTTATGTATAAAACACATCAAAAAGTGCATTTTGCATGATAGGTCCCCTTTAAGAACAATGTTACTTTAAGGGCCTCATTTAACACAATCCGATTTACATCATGACAAAACAACAAGATTATGATTTTACAATTTTTTTTTACCAGGCTTTGTAGACACTTCCTGTTTACATGCTTGGACAGAAATGGTGACTCAACCGGGAATATTTTTTGAGAATTTCAAAATAAAAGTAAATCTTAAAGATGACAGTTATTGATGTTTTCACTTCTTATAAATGATATTGGAACATCATCCATGGAATATATGTTTTGATCCAGATCCATGTATTGTTACACCCCAATATAACAGTTAATTTTGAATAATCAAAATGGAATCTGATCTCAGTCAATTACAATAACTCTTCCAGACACAGCGTAGAACAAATACATTTAAAAAAGGTAAGAGCTTCAGCAGCACTATGTTCAATGCCCATACAGAGACAATAAGGGCACGTCCTTCCCTGCTTTCTGCAGAGCAGTACTTTGCCGTACGCAGTTCCCAGTACTTAGTTCATCAGAACTCTTTAGTTCTGATGAACTAAAGAGCAGATTGCGTTCACACCGGAATAAGTCCCTGAGGGAGGATTAGGCAAATGAAGCTGCTGACGTCCCTTCTTCTTCTTCTGCTTTGGGTTTACTGGCAGGCCGCAAACAACTTCACGGCGTATACTGCCACCCGAAGTCCCCGGCCGGAAATCCCCGGAGTTGGGGACTGGCTTCTACTGAAGCCTTCGAGTAAATCGCCAGAACCTCCTCATCACTCCACTGCTCCCATGTTTTTTTTTGTGTTGCCATAAGTTAGTCTCTCTCCGTTGGTGCACTGGGCTAATGCTAAAGCTAATAATGCTAATGGCAGCAAATACAAAACTTTTCCGAGTTTTACGGGGCGTGGTTTGCAATCCGCCCAGCCAATCAGAAATGGAAACCTTTTTCTCCCATGAAAGTACCTGCTCTCTAGCAGGGACTAAAAAGGTTCTCATGAACTATGTTCTAGTTCCGGATTTCTTTGGTGTGAACTAGTGTTCATTTTGTCAGCTATTTTTTTATTTAGTTTTAGTCTTAGTCCCGTGTTAAATTTCCTTAGTTTTTCCTTTAGTTTGTCATATTTAGTCACCTTCATCCTGTTTTTATTTAGTCAAGTTTTAGTCGACTAAAAGTCTGAGCATTTTAGTCTTATTTTAGTCAAAGAAAACGGTTGAGTCTTTTTTAGTCATCAGATTATATAGAACATTTCAGTCAAACTAGTCTAGCCAAAACCAATAATGGGGGGGGGGGGGGTTAACGCGACCACTGCTCCCAAGCCCTGTTGTTGCCATTTTATTTTCTGTTAAATAAGGTTAGTTAGACCATGAGTTAGACCCGAGTCTTCCTGACAGTTCACAGTGTGCCGCTAGCCCGGTGTAATTCAAATGTACCGCCGCGCGCAGCACAGACACACAGCTGCTGCCCAGCCGCAGCACCGGAAATGGAACTGCTGGGAGAAAAACTGACTATCAGAGATGTAACGTTATCTTTGATAATATTTCGTCTCTTCATTTTTCCTCAACGAAAGTAAAGAGAAATGTTGGCAAAGTATTTATTTAGTAAACTACATTTTTGTCTCGTCACTTTTCGTCAACGATATTGCATGATGATTTCGTTACAGTTATTGTTTACTGCCGTCGGTGCCGTCTCGTCATCGTCTCGTTTTAGTCATGGAAAAAAAGGTCGTTGACGAACATTTCGTCATAGTTTTAGTCAACGAAATTAACACTAGTGTGAACGCAACATTTCAAGAACTATCGGAACTATACTGGGGAAAAGTACTCCGGTGTGAAAGCGCCTAATGTTATAATATAAAGGATACAGTTGTAAGCAGGGCTTAATGTGAAAGACACACTCACCATAAGCAAACAGTCCAGGCAGCTGGTAGACTTGTCTGCCAAACAGGTTCCTGCCCAGGGTTGGAGCGAGTGGCTCATGTCCTACCTAACGACACACAGTGATAAGAGAGTGATAAGCAATATGCACTGTAACTGTATGCACTTTATGTCTTAGCAACTGTGGCTCCCCCACACTTCCTGGTGTTTTGATACATTATAGTCAAGTTGTTGACATTTTGCCTCAGTGGAATTTGTTTATTCTACAAACTATCCTAACATTTTTCTGGCCACTACTTCATTTTGTCTTTTAAACAACTGTAAACCATCAATGAGTTGCCTCACTGGTCAAAGCCAGTGGTCTGAAGTAACTAAGTACATTTATTCAAGTATTGTACTTAAGTATAATTGGACTGTCTTGTACTTTACTTGAGTATTTTAATTTTCTGCTACTTTGTACTTCTACTTCAATACATTTCATAGGGAAATATTGTACTTTTTGCACTACATTTATTTGGCACGTGTAGTTACTTTTACATAACGTGTTTATATAATATATATTTACTACTAATTTACTCACTACTTCCCAAAATGTGCTCCATATTTAAGAAGTTAAAAACTCTTAGAAATATTATAGAATATTATTCAGATTTTATTATTAGAAAATACATATAACAGGCATTCTGCACTATGAGTACTTTCACTTTTCACACTGGATACATTTAGCTGATAATACTTCTGTACTTTTACTTAAGTAACATTTAAAACTCAGGACTTACTTTACTGTATGCTTAGACTGTGGCATTACTACTTGTACTTAAGTAGACACGGTGGCCCTGAAGTGCAAGTCAAAACAACCTTTCAGAAAACACTACAGCAGAAAACACCACAGCATTTCACAAAACACTTCAGAAAACACCACAGCATTTCACAAAACGCTTCAACATTTCATAAAACACAACGTCATTTCAGAAAACACCACAGCATTTCACAAAACACTTCAACATTTCAACTTTTACGGAAAGGAAGTTGTAAAGGAATACCTTTAGGGAGAACACTTCTTGTTTGTGATTGGACAGAGCCAGCCAGAGAAGCACTGCTGTGATTGGTTGTTTTTGCTGCCAGTCAAGAAATGACGCTTCGTGATTGGTCAGCACCCGACAGCGCAACATGTCCCAAAACATCAGCCGTTAGCACACAGCTCTTCATATCTGTTCAGAAACTGGACAAAAGTTAAACATGTACAAACCACAGACTGTCTGTGTCATGGAGAATACAGTTGCTGCTTTATTTATGTCTGTATCATGTTGTGAGTTTGGACGGAGCAGCTACAGGTTGGTTTATCCTGATCGATCCGATCTCCATTCAGAAAACACGCATTTTAAAAAGTGTTTCGCCTGCCGTCTTGTCTGCACACTTGTCAGAGCATTAATTCATGGTTGTTACTAACCGGTATCAGTATGTTGTTACTTCGGCATCATTTTGAAACGTGTATTACAATTAAATCACGGTAAAATATGTTCATTTTGTTGTAGTTGGTATCTACCATAGTATTTTCATGGATATAAGCCCCGCCCGCTCTCCAGCGCGTCTTGTTTGCTGACAGCCGCGGTGAAACTCGAGCGATGCGAATATTCGGGGTTTATCTCCATGTAAATACTGTGGTAGACTACAACAAAATGAACATATTTTACCGTGATTTAAAAATTGTAATACACGTTTCAAAATGATGCCGAAGTAACAACATACTGATACCGGTTAGTAAAAACCATCAATTAATTAAGTGTGCAGACAAGACGGCAGGCGATACATAATTTTTGTAATCCTCTGGAGCAGAGAGAGGAGCTGTGGATTATTGTTATTGATTAATGCATCAGTGTTTCTTAGGGTCAAAAACACTAAACTCACAACTTAAAATGAAAGTGTTTCATTTATTTAATAAAAGAGCACATGTTCAATGTGAAAAGTGACAGTAGATATAGATTAGTTGCAATTTGGTGCTATATATATATACATATATATTCAAGGTGTTTGAATTCATTTTTTTAAATTAATTTTTTATAATAAAAAAAAAAAAAAAGAGATATATATATATATATATATATATATATATATATATATATATATATATATATCTCTTTTTTTTTTTTTTTCTTTTTTTTTTTTTTTTTTTTTTTTTTTTTATTTTAAAAAATAAAAAATGTATTTAAAAAAATGTATTCAAACACCTTGAATTTCAGGGGGGAAGACAATGGTAGTGGAAACACTGAACATGATACAGACAGAAATAAAGCAGCGACTGTATTCTCCATGACACAGACGTGTTTTGTTCATGTTTAACTTTGGTCCAGTTTCTGAACAGATATGAGGAGCTGTGAGCTCTGTGTGCCAACAGCTAACAGCTGATGTTTTGGGACATGTTGCGCTGTCGGGTGCTGACCAATCACGAAGCGTCATTTCTTGACTGGCAGCAAAAACAACCAATCACAGCAGTGCTTCTCTGGCTGGCTCTGTCCAATTACAAACAAGAAGTGTTCTCCCTAAAGCAGTGCTTCTCAAAGTGTGGTCCGCGGACCACTGGTGGTCCGTGAGCGCCCCCTAGTGGTCCGTGAGTATATTGGTAAAGTTTCACATTTGAAATACATTTATTTATTTAAGTTTTCCGCACTCTCGCGGGGATATCTCCGCAATGGATCAAGCTTAAGTTCACTTTCGATTGCATGATATATCCCAGCGCAACACCTTCATCACACATGTTGCCACTTGTTTGTACGATTTTCAGGCGATTTGTAATCTGTTCTAGAAAAACTATGTGTTTTTGGATATTTGTGGAGTTAGGTGGTCCGCGAGTGTTTTTTTATTGGTTAAGTGGTCCTTGGTATGAAAAAGTTTGAGAAACACTGCCCTTAAAGGAATACCCTTTCCGTAAAAGTTGAAATGTTGAAGTGTTTTGTGAAATGCTGTGGTATTTTCTGAAATGCTGTAGTGTTTTGTGAAATGCTGTAGTTGTTTTGTGAAATGCTGTAGTGTTTTAGGAAATGTTGAAGCGTTTTGTGAAATGCTGTAGTTGTTTTGTGAAATGCTGTAGTGTTTTAGGAAATGTTGAAGCGTTTTGTGAAATGCTGTAGCGTTTTCTGAAATGCTGTGGTGTTTTCTGAAATGTTGAAGTGTTTTGTGAAATGCTGTGGTGTTTTCTGAAATGCTGTAGTGTTTTCTGAAATGCTGTGGCGTTTTCTGAAATGTTGTTTTGACTTGCACTTCAGCTCCACCTAGAGGACCTGAGTACTTCTTCCATCACTGGTCAACGCTGACTTAGTAACACCTATTGTTAGCTTACTGTCTTTTTCATTGGGCTAAATGAGACCGGGCTGTAGATAACAGTACTGTTGCAAATGAGTTATTAAAATTACACGACGATAGTGAGCCAACAGCACCCTGTGGTGTAAAACTAACTGTACGGACAACTAAGGGCATTTTACTGTGAAACAGAGAAACAAAGCCACTGTTTCTGAATGGAAACTAGGAAGGCACTTTGTGTTGTATGAATACAATTCCCCGGAGGTCCGAGGTTAGCTAGCAAAGCAGAGCTGCTCGGCTGACAGCTAGTTAGCTGTTATTCCTAGCTATGTCAACCAGGTTAGAAATAACAGCATGTGTGCGTGAGAATATGTTACTGGGAAATTAAGTGTTCAAGTAAATTATGCATACACCAACAATACAGAAACGGGACTATATATTAATATAGTATGAACTTCAAAAATTGGTTAACACAACTAACTTCCGCCTACACAGAGTATTTGGAAACAGAAGGTCATAGGGACAACAGACGGAGCATAATGTAGTTGATGTTGTCAGAGGAATATTTGCTGCTGTATGTATTAGCTGAATCAAATAGTCCATAATAATTATTGACGAACGAGCATTTATATTCATTTACTGACAGGCGAGGCAAATTGAACTGCGCTATTGTAAATGGAGTTTGACAGGTCCCTCCTCAGGCTACTAGCTAATGTTGTTTACAAATGCGAGCCAAAAGTGTCCAAAGCAGCTCCTAAAGCAGAAACACCTCCCAGCGTCTGCACCGACCCCTCCCCTCTTACCTGGATCAGGACTTTAATGTACATCAAAGGGTGGGAGAGGACGGTGAGCCCTGATCCCAGCAATACTTGGCCACACGTGTCCGCCATTTTTGGAGAGACAGTGGAGATAGGAAGCCCTTCACTTTCGTCTTGCGTCAGAGGAAGCGATCCCGCCTTATTTATTACGGTACCGCCATCTAGTGTTCTTCCATGGCTCAGCATCAGACCCTGTCCATAAATCAAATCACTCTGCTTTCTCTACTTGACAGCCTTGGTGGAAAAATATTTCAGATGCGTTACTTGCGTAAAAGTACCAATACTTTATTGTTAAAATACTTAATTACAAGTAAAAGTCCTATATTCGAAATCGTACGTAAGTGAAAGTAAACAAGTAGTATCAGCAGGGGTTACATTGGGATTGTATATGTGGGGTAGAGATGGCAAATCCGGATCCTTTTACGGACTCAGGGTCTTCTGAGTCAGTCATTGAAGAGATCCGGATCATACGAGTCATTTGAGTCATATGAGTCAGCATCACCAAGACCGTAGAAATCCTATCGGTGAAACCGAAAAGTTGATGCATTTCACGAGCATATTATTATTCCATATATTTTGAATATATATATATATTTGTATATATATATATATATATATATATATATATAATATCTGCATGTATATTTTCTATTTCGACATGTATATTTTATATTTTATATTTTATTTTATTTTTCTTTCTATTCTTGTATATTTTGTAGTTTTGTTTTATTGTAAAATGCCTTTTATGCTGCTGTAACAACAACAATTTCCCAATTTGGGATCAATAAAGTACTATCTATCTATCTATCTATCTATTAAACTGACGTTATATTAACCTCCGCTACACAGTGTATTTTGCTTTAATAAAAAATGTTGATCACAAAAAAAAGGGTTATTTTGCGATTTGGCAAATCTGAGTCTGCTGTTGACTCGTGCATGAGGACGAGTCTGCTGGATCTCTGGATCTGCTGCTATATACGGCTCCGAGTCCGCACGAGTCTGCTCTGCTGTGTGTTGCGCACAGTGAGTCAGGATTTGCGAATCTGAGTCTGCTGTTGACTCGTACATGACGACGAGTCTGCTGGATCTCTGGATCTGCTGCTATATGGTTACGGCTCCGAGTCCGCACGAGTCTGCTCTGCTGTGTGTTGCAGCGAGTCAGGATTTGCGAATCTGCGAATCTGCGAGTCTGCGAATCTGCGAGTCTGCGAGTCTGCTGTTGACTGCGAGTCTGCTGTTGATAGCGCGGGAGCCGGGTGCTGGAGGAGGGGCTATGCTCGTGCACATGACGAGTATGGATTGCTGGATCTGCTATGCTATTACGGTTAGGAGCCGTCGGCTCCTCTGAGTCCCCACGAGTCTGCAGGAAGTTTCACTGATCCGCGTCCCCTCCCCTGAGCCAAACGATAACTTCTGGCAGGCAGCTATCCTGTATACTTGCTAAAGGGTAGGCAGATGGACTGGGGTACGTTGTAATGTGATTTTACATGTTATAAAGAGAGTAGCGAGTGACGCAATTTATAGTTTTAATTTGTACGTCACAGCAAGTGTGGGACTCAAGGACTCGGGTTAATGGAGAGGGGAGACTCGTCACGACCAGCTCATTTCTAGGATCCGGGTTAATGATCCGGATGAATCAGGACTCGCCCATCTCTAATGTTTGGGGGCTCTGTGTGGAGGTGGGGGGAGGGGGGGGGGGGGGGGGGGGGGGATTGTCCAATAATTAGACCTTAAGGGTGTAGTATAGTGCAGGGGCGGACTGGGACTAAAAATCAGCCCGGGAAACTCGACCGGCCGACCGGCCCAACTCGGTACCGCTAGTCAATTGTCAACGAGGGGGGGGGGGTACTAGTGAATTGTCCGACCGGCCCACTTCGGTACAGGTGTTATGCCGTAGATTGAAGCCTTGCCGTAGATTGAAGCCCTGTTCGCGGGGACGAGCAAAGGTGACGTCATCGCCTGTATTGAGCGTTCGCCTAGTTTTCTAAGCGGAAAAACGAAAGATACTATTTACTTTCTCTCTTTTGAATGATATATTTCCCATCAGATTAAACAGCAAACGGCTGAATAAATAATGTGCATACAATTGCGTGGAGGCTCGTTTTAAGGACACTTTTCAGATCTGTCACAATCTTCGTATTGGAACAAACAGGTGGAAACAATCAGGGGCGGGGTCGACAATCACAGGAGTGGGAGACACACAAGGAAGGGAGGTCAGAAGCCTCGTCTCAATACCCCTCCTCGACTCCTCCTTTCCCTCACTCTCGTCCCTTCCTTGCATCTTAGCTCTGCCTCCGTAAGATGCGAGCGAGAGACACGAGGAGGAGACGCGAGGACAGAGGAGTCCTCAGGTATTAATTGGGATGTCCTCGTTCACTCAAACGTCACTCTTAAACGACGTCTGTTAATGATGACATGTGCACAGCTGTATCCCCTCTCATCGGGCTTAACTGAATAACCTTTAGAACCGGCCCATTTGTTGTTAAATATGTATTTAAATTATGAATCTTTCTCTTGTTAGTCAAGGAATTCAATGTATGATGGTTGGTCCTGCTTTTGTGTTCCGTTTTGGTGTAAAATGTACATTTCAATAAAATTATAATTATAATAATGTGAAAGCCTTTACTCTGAACATGTGTGTCCTGTAGATCCCCACATTCACCACAAACCCACATTCAGGACTGTGCATTTTAAATCATTTAACTACTCAATATTTTAACACAAAACAAAACAAATAATTGTTATTTATCAAGATCTAGCCATTTATGAAATAGCTTTCTTAATAGCTATGTTTTAGTGACGTTCAAGATCATTAAACATGACTTAAATTGTTAGTATAACCTTAAGAAATGAATTGCACATAATAATTTCCACGGAGCTGTGAGCACTTATACATTTATGTGACGCTTTTCCACTCATTCTTCCAGTTCTCCGTTTTCCTGTGTTGAAATCGACCAGCTGTGAAGGTGGGGGCGGGGCTTTTATACGCGAGTAGTGAAAACACTTCCGCGTAGTCTGCTCTCGTGTATCCTCCCTTTCGTCTCCTCCTGCACCCCTCCTCCCTCACCCCTCCTCGACTCCTCCGTGTGCATTTCAGCTATTGGGACGTCCTTCAACATGGCGTGTCTTGATCGATTTCCGGGTCAAGTCCCGGAGGAGGGGAAGAGAGGAGTCGAGGAGGGGTATTGAGACGAGCCTGGAGTATCTGAAACGAGAGGGAAGGTTACTATTCAAAAATAAAGGGGAAAATCACTAGACAAAGACAAAAACACTAAACCAACATAATTTGCGAGAGATGACAGTACTCCCCCCTCTAGGGACGACGCCTGACGGCCCAGGAACCTGAGGGTGCTGGCGAAAAAAGTCATTAATGAGAGTTTGATCCTCGACAAATCTTGATGGGATCCAGGAGCATTCTTCTGGTCCATAACCCTCCCAGTCAACCAGGAACTGTCTCCCTTTGCCTCTGTTCCGGACCGCCAACAGGCGCTTGACCGTATAGACCAGGCCGCCGTCGAGCATTCGGGGGGGTGGAGGGGGTTTGGCTGCGGGAACCATGGGGCTTTCCTTTACAGCAGGGGTGTCAAACTCAAGGCCCGGGGGCCAAATCCGGCCCGCGACCTAATTTTATGTGGCCCGCAAGAGCTTGCAAAGAATATAATATACAATACAATTGGTGTAATTGTTGAATATTTACTTTCAATTATTTGCCCTAGACTTCTGCTTTCAGACGTAGTTATTTAGGAAGATATTACCAGATCTGATAATAATCCAATGCAGGGCCAACAATGTAATGTAATACATTATTTACTATATATTATATATTTACATATGTATATTTATATAAATTACAACCGGCCCTTTGAGTGCAACCATAATGCTGATGTGGCCCGGGATGAAATTTAGTTTGACACCCCTGCTTTACAGGCTTCAGTTGTCCCACATGGAAAGTGGGATGAACCCTCAGAGACCTGGGGAGGCGGACAGAGACAGGGTTAATTACTTTGGTCACAGGGAATGGGCCTACGAACCTAGGTGCCAACTGTTACGACTGAATAAACGGGTTTGAACTCAAATGCACGACTCACACAGGTTTTAACAAAAAAAGGTTTATTCAAACCAAAGCTCAACACAAAACTAAATTACTCTTAAAGTTGAAATCTTCCGGACAAAATTAGAAAAGTGCCGGGCAAAGGTCTTCTTTGTTATGTATTGAGCTTTAAAACAAATGAATAACGACTCTATATAATAATATAATAAAACACGGAGGACGGAGATCTCCCCCCTCTTCTGACAGCCCAGCAGCTGATCAGAGCGCGCTCCCCTCTCCTGCAGGGGGGCGTGGTCAGATGCAGCTCACAGAATCAGCCCCCTGCAAAAACAGGGCTGGAGAACAGCAAATAGAGCGAAATGAGGCATGGCTAAAATGCATGATCTGTTTGGTATTTTGAAAACAGAAACGTATAAATATACCTTATATAGGTATGGCCCTACAATCTTAATCTTCCTGTCCTCACCGTCTGCACCACTCGCGAACGGTCATGTAGATTTTGAAGCATAGCCGCGGGAAGTAGGGGTGCTGGGGGTGCTGCAGCACCCCCTAGAATCTGGAGAATCACAGAACGACCGGTCGTCAAGGGCCGTTGACGGCCAGCTCGGTTCGCTCACGGCCGGCACCGCCCTTAATGTGTTTTTAAACGGCATCATTGAAGTTGCGCTGACAGGCGACAGAGGTCCACTGTGTCCCCTGCAGCGAGGCTACCTGCCCCCCCCTGTTGACTGTTCACTAGCTCCCCACGCAGTGGGGCCTCACCTCGCGGAGGAGGCCTCACCTCGCGGAGGGAGCCGCATCTTGCGGAGGGAGCTTCAACTGAGCCGCAAATGCGTGTAGGCACGGCAAGCCCCCTCCCCCCTGGCTATGTTTGGAAGCGTAGATCCCATCGTCGCCAGTTTTCTCCCAAGTTGCCAGTGAGTACCAGTGGGGATGATAATTTGAATCGATCTATCTCTCTCTTTTTTCTTTCTTTAAAAAAAAATAGCGACTCCCGCTCTCTGGGGACAGCACCTGTTAGCTTGGCTTTAGGCTAGCAAAACTTTCATCTGTTTACCTCCGGCAAAAT